ACTCACAGCAGCCCAGCTCCAGGTCGAGCTGTTGTTCAGCATCTTAGCTGTGGAGGGCAGTGTCACTGGCCCTCATATGTGGGATCCGAACTGGGACCCTCTGGCGTCCCAAGCCAGTTTTTAACCATCGCGCCACTCGGCCGGCCCTCTTTCTGCACTTTGAACATGTCATCTCACTGCCTTCTGGCCTCAATGGTTTCTGATGAGAAATCAGTTATTAATCTTATTGAGGGTCTTTTATATGTGATGTTACTTCTCTCATGCTGCTTTCAAGAACCTTTTTCTTTTGCTTTTGATAGTTTGATTATGATGTTTCTAGGTGTGGATGTCTTTGAGTTTATCTTTTTTGGAATTCATTTTGCTTCTTGGATGTCTAGATTTATGTTCTCATCAAATTTGAGATGTTTTGAGCCATTTTTTTTTCTCTGTTACCCTCCTGGGACTCGCATTACATAAATGTTGATACCCTTGTTGTAGTGTTACAGGTCTCGAGACACTTTTCATTTTTAAAAAATCTTTCTGTTTTCTGTTCTTCAGAATGAATAATTTTTATTGATATTTCTTCAAGTTAATTGATTCTTCTGCCATCTCACATCTGCTGTTGAGCCTGTATCATGATTTTTTTCTTTTGGTTATTGTGCTTTACAACTCTAGAATTTCCAGTTAAGGTTTTTTTTTGAAATTTGATTGGGGAACAGTGTGTTTTTCCAGGACTCAGCAGCTCCAAGTCAAGTAGTTGTTTCAATCTGGTTGTGGAGGGCGCAGCTCAGCTCCAAGTCCAGTCGTCATTTTCAGGCTAGTTTCGGGGGGCACAGCCCACCATCCCATGTGGGAATTGAACCAGCAACCTTGTTATTAAGAGCACACGCTCTAACCAGCTGAGCCATCGGCAGCTCAGTGGCAGCTCAGCTCAAGTCGTTGTCTTCAATCTAGTTGCGGAGGGTGCAGCTCACTGGCCCATGTGGGAATTGTACCGGCAGCCTTATTTAGAGCACGCACTCTAATCAACTGCCCCACCTGGCTGCCCCTCCAATTAGGTTTTTAATGTTTTTACTTCTCTGTTCATCTTTCATATTTGATGAGTCATTGCCATCATATTTTCCTTTAATTCTTTAAACACAATTTAAAAAATTCTTTGAGCAATAGTTCATTAAAGTCTTTGAAAAAAATCTAACATCTGGGTCACCTTAGTGTCAATTTCTTTTTCCCCTCAGGAGGTCACATTTTCTTGTTTCTTTGTATGTCTTATACTTTTTCATTGAAACTGGACTTTATAATTATATATTACATGCACTCTGGAATTAGGTAGCATCTACTTATTAGCTCTCAGACTATATTAAGTAAGTTACTTAATCTCCAGGAACCTTGATTTTTCTCATCTACCAAATAGTACTACTGCTGGTAACAATAATAATAAGTGTATTATAAAGCTCTTACATTAAGTCAGGTACTATTTACTGTAAGGGCTTTAGCTATATTAACTAATTTAATTCTCACAGCAACCCAATGAGAGAGACACTTGCCTGCATTTCACAGAGAGGGAAACAGATACAAAGAGGTTAAGTAATCTATCTTAGGTCACAGATGGTAAGGGTGAGAGCCAAGATTCAAACTAAGACAGCCTTCAACTTAATTACTATGTTAGTCTGGGTCTGGGTGAGTGAGGATGATGATATTACCTAGTTTATAGGGTGATTGTAAAGATTAAATGAGACAATACATATCAAACATTTAACACAGTAAATGTTCAATAAATGTTAGTTGCTATATTAATAGTATGTGTTCTTGGATTGGGTAAATAACCTGTCATAAATTGCTAAAGAAACTTGATATCACATATCAGTTAATGCCCTATGGGAACTCCTTTTCAGATTTCATCGGCTGCTTGTGGCTATGGGTTCACGTTGCTGTCCTCTAAAACCAAGGATGTTACGAAAGTTTGGGGTATGGGACTCAACAAAGATTCTCAGCTTGGATTTCACAGGAGCCGGAAAGATAAAAGTGAGCATTTTCACCTTGGCTTCTCTCTGTTCTGACGGCTGAGAAAGCTCCTTTGGATTTTCATGAGCATGATTACATAAACCAAACCATAACAGCAAAATAGATGAAGTCTTAAAGGGATGTTGTTTGAAGTCATCTGCATTAGATAGTTTTTCAGCCTGTTTGGTAATAATATTGAGCCTTTGGGCAAAAGACATTTCCTGATAGGTAAAGATGTTTCTTTTTGGCCCCAAAGAGATGACCTTTCTTTCCTAGCTTGGAGATAGCCTGAAATACTCTATAGTATGTAGAGTATGGTCTGGGGGAAAAAATTCAGTGAAATCCTTAAGATGGAGGCTTTATCCCAATCGTTTGCAAGTTGGATTACAGAAATGTTAGAAATGATTTATAATGACATTTTAAAAAGTAGACATTAGCCAAATAGTATTATAAGAACAATAAGGAACATTTTTTAAACTAAGCGAGAAATTACCTGGGCATACTCATATATACCAGACAGACCTTTCTTCATTTTTTCCTGTTACCGCATTCATATGCAAATATTTTACTTTGATCACAGCATATATTTTGTTTCTGCCCTTTTCACTTAATTTTATATCAGAGTTTGTTTATAAGTTAGTATTGAAGTCTTATTAGCTGTAAGATGCCATGTCACATTTTTTATACCTTTTACCAGGAACAATTTTAGATATATGCAGAAATGGACAGAATGGTGCAATGCACCCCATGTGCTGTCACCAGCCTGAGTGGTCACCAGCTATGCCAGTCTTGTTTTATTCAATTCCCCCACCATCCCCTCACTAAATAAATTTGAAGCAAATCCTAACATTATTGATTTCATTCACAAACATTTCAGTACATATCTAAAAAATAAGGACTCTTTTACAAAAAAAAATAATACCACACCTAAAAATAACAGTATAATCCCTTAATATCATCAAATATCCAGTGTTCAAATTCTCAGTTGTCTCACAAATGTCATTAAATTTTAACTTTATTATTAAAAATTTATTTGAATCAAGACCCAGATAAGGTCCAGACATTGCAGTTGGTTGATAAGACTTTTAAAAGTCTTTTAAGTCTGTTTTAATCTTTTTTCCTTGAAATATATTTATTAAAGAAATCACATTGTTTATCCTATAGAATTTTTCAGTCTGGGGTTTCCTGCCAATTGATAGTTGGATCTTGAGCCAGATTCTCTTTAAATGTTATATGTTATGTATTTCCTGCTTTCCAGGCCCTTAGGGGGGGTCTGTGCATATTCTAATGGGGGATGTGAGTCAGCTTTCGGAGTTCTAAAGCACTATATGTTTTCAGCTAATAAGGCTGTATAAGCTAACAACATTGTCCAGTTTCTTTGATTTTTGCCTAGAATCATATCATCTTGATGTGATAAGATAATTATTCCATGCTGATCAAAAGCTCTGTCTGAAAATTATGTTAGTCACTAATGAATACAAATGGGCAAGTGTATTATTATCACAGTAATAATGCCATTTATTTGATAGACAAAATCTTTTTAAACATAGGTTTCAAAGGAGAAAATAGAGGGGTTATTTAGTGGGGTGTAGGTTGAGGACCAGTGCATTTGTAGATCTTTAACTCAAGCGTGCATTATAAATATTCAGAAGCTCATTGTTGAAAACGTACAAGAGGCATTCTTTCCATAGATCAATCTGGCTTCTCTAGTAGGACTGTAAAGAACAATAAGGGTCTTCTTTAGGGTGACTTCTAAAAAACTTTTCCCCTTACTTGTTTATTTAAATGTTAAAATTGTCTTTTGTGTACAGTTCAGAATCCTAAAGGTGTAATAGAATATATGATGAAAACCTGCTTTCCACCTCTGGCCTTCCAGCTGCATGGTTTTTCTCCCTGAAGACAACCTGTGTTAGCAGCCTCTAGGTTACCCTTCTAGAGAGATTTAATATATATGCCAAGTAAATGCATCTACTTTTTTTTTTTGCCTCCTTTTAATACAACAATATTTGCTGTATTTTACCTGAGAAGTTTTTGTGGGAATTGCAGGAAGAAAATGCTTTTACTTTCCAAAAACATTCAAATGGCATTAAGTGACATGTGAAGAGATTACTGAAGTTTGCTTTTCAGTAACCCAATGTGTAATGGAGGCAGTGTGGTGCAGTGAGTGGGAGTTGGCAACTGGGGTTCTAGTCCTTGCTCTGCCACTAGCCCATGTGCCAGAGTAAGTCATTCTGATCTCTGTGTAAAAATGTGGGGATTGGACAGTGTGATTTCTAATATTAGAAGTGCTGTGATTCTCAGTCAGTGTAATAACTGGTGGTTTTTGTTTCAGCAAGGGGATACGAGTATGTTTTGGAGCCCTCACCAGTTCCACTGCCTCTGGACAGACCTCAGGAGACACGGGTGCTACAGGTCTCCTGCGGCAGAGCCCACTCCCTTGTCCTCACAGATGGCGAAGGAGGTGAATTGACCTGTTCAAGACTGACGGAGGAGGGAGGGGACCGCTTTCTTGCTGTTGGGCCTGAAGCGGCTCACTTGGTTGAGCCTCATCTAATTAGTGAGGCTATAGGCATTTCTTGAGCGCATTGGTAGGATGGCTCAGGAGAGCTCTATTGAGCAGAGCTTGCTAAATCTTTCCTGCTCTCTGCTCTCTGGCTCTGGGAAAGTCTCAGGTACCTGTAAGTCCGACAGTGCACACCAGACAGCCTTATCACAGCCTCCCATCCCTTTGCATGAAGTCACCAAGCTGGGTGGCACGTGCAGATGGCTTTTTCTGTTGTCCTGAAAGAAGCCTGTTTGCTAACATTTCGTCCAAGTACTGGGGGGTTTTCAGAGTCCAAGCTCCTGGGTAACCCCAAACCTCTCCAGAAGAGCGGTTGTTTCTGGGGAAAGGCTAACTTGACAAAATTTTTCAAATTTCATTTTCTGGCTAAGTGTGCTTTGTAGGAAAAAGTGAAGGTGGTGGTTAGGAACTCTGCCAAGAGGATTTTTGCACTGAGGGCCACCTAGCGACAGGTTCAGGAAATGGGGATGCTGAGGCCTTTCACAGGAAGTGCTTGCCTTGTATAAGGTGGAATTCCTGAGAGTCGGAACTAGGGGTCGGGGGCAGGGGCAGAAGGAATAGTACAGGTGGCCTGGGCTGCTGCGGCAGGCCTGGACCCCAGCGTGCCTGTGGCTCTGCCTGCACAGGCTGGGAATGTTGGAGAAGGGAACCAAGTGGCAGCTAGGGTGAGTGTTTCGACTAGGACCACTTTTGAGACCCCCATTCCAGGACTCCATGAGCATGAAGAACTGGTTTAACTGGGTGTTATTTTTCAGTCTTCAGCATGGGAAACAATTCTTATGGGCAGTGTGGAAGAAAGGTGGTTGAAAATGAAATTTACAGGTGAGTTCCTGACGGGATTACCCCTCCCCCCAGGTGTGTTAAGCATTAACCGTTTCTTGAGTGATTACTATGTGATAGACCCACAGAGCAGGAAGCGGGGTTCCTCGTGTGTGAGAGGAGCAGTGAGAACTCACAGGAGACTCGAGGAGAGGGTGTTCTATTGCAAGCTGAGCTCCACACATTAGCCTGGTGGGAGGGGAGGGCACATGAGCATTGGTTGTAATGTGTAGGACTTCTTTGGATTCGTTTTGTATTTTTAACCAAATGATTAACTTCAAAAATTCCTTTCTCATTCATGTTCATTCAGTCTTAAAAAAAAAAATTCCCTCTAGTTCCTTGTATTATGTTGGTGGTTATAAATACCAGCCTCAACTCTGGCAGCACCTAAAAATCACCAGAGGATTTTGTTTTGTTTTACTTTCATGCCTTGACCTAACTCTGCCTTATATTTGACCTTGAGAGTTTCCCTAACAGTCACTATGTGTGTGTGTGGGGGGGGTGGGCACCGGTAGGGGTAACAGGGGACAGAACCCCACAGTGCTTACCATGACCATATCTCTTGCTTCTCCCTAAATTGTTCCCGGCTGTAGTGAAAGTCACAAAGTCCATAGAATGCAGGACTTCGATGGACAGGTGGTTCAGGTAAGAGGCATGAACTCCTCCTGCCCCCGGGGTGCTTTTGAAAGGGTGAGAGTTGGATGGAGTGATGGAAAATCTGGTAGGCAGATTTTCTGAATTAATAAATTATTTTAGTGAAAATTATTGCCTGCCTGCTAGAAGCCAGGATTTGCAGTAGATTGTAAGGGTACGAAGTTTAATAAGGTTTGGGGGATAACACTCTAGTGGGAGAGACAGGTTAAGAAAACTAGCTATAATGTATCAGAGTGTATCACAGCATTGTGTACCTTCCCGGCTGGCTTTATCTTGCTTGTTGTTTTATTCCCATCTCTCGTGCAGTGCCTGGCACATGGCAGGTGCTTATAATAAATACATGATGGGAGGGAAGGGAGAGCAGGCATCATGGAAGAAGTGGCAGAGGACTTGATTTAGATGGACTGGGGCTGGATGGTAGGAAAAGGTTTCTGGCAGAGGCGAGGGAGCAGCAGGAGGCTTTAACTGCTGAGAGCCTGCAGCGTGGCTGCAGTTTGGCATGCTTACGGGGGAGTGGTGTGGGATAGGCTAGATGAAGGTTCAGAGAGAACAGTGCAGGTCCTTAAATGCCTTGCTTAGGAGCTTAGACTTCATCCTCTTGACCATCGGGCCTGTCAAAGGTTCCCTCCTGTCAAAGCAGGAGTGACAGCCAAATCATGATCTGTTTAGAAATATAACTTTGGCCATGGTTTGGAGTAGAGTTGGGGGAGAAAGTGATGACGGCTGCTTGGGAACCCATGGGGAGAAGGGACAGGTGAGGAGACATGTAAGAAGAATTGACTGGATTTGGGGCTCGTTTAGCTGGGCAGGGAGGGGGCTAGAGGGAGTTGAGTGTGACTCCATAGGCCAGTGTGGGGCTGCTGGTGTTCTTGACCTGGATGCCAGCTGGAGGAGAAGCAGGCGCGGGCTGGCTGGGAGGCGGGGCTAGAAGGACGGGGAGTGAATCTGCAGTAGAGTAGTGCTTCCTGCACAGACTCAAAGTCATGTGGATGTGAGTTCAAGTCCCTGCTTCTCTGCATATTAACTGGGTAACGTTGGGCACGTTACCAACCTTCTCTGAGACTCCGTTTCTCACTGGGTGGTCTTGGTTATTGACTTAGCACAGTGCCTGGCATAATAACTGTTCAGTAAAGGGCGCTTTTCATTCGGAAAATAGGTCTAGAACTCCGAAGAGTTTTTGGGACTGGAGCTAACAGTGTGGAGGTGACAGTGGGTACAGTCTCTAGGAAGGTGTGAGGAGAGAAGAAGGCATAAGACAGAACCTTGGAGGATTCCAGCACTACAGGGTAGGAAGTAGAGGCTGGGCAAGTGACAGATTAGATGCTATTCAAGAGGCAGAAGAGGCATGGCGAAGAGAAAGGCTTCTGGAGGAGGGAGTGGTTCCTCGGGTGGAGAGGATGCAGGAGCCCCTGGGTCTGCTCCTGAGGACACCGGGCACTGTACTTTAGCAAGACCAGCTTCAGTGGAGTGGCGACTACAGCTAGGCTGTGGTGCGGAGAGCAAGAGCGAGGTGGGCAGGTGGGGCCTGCTCGGAGCTCAGGAGCCGGAGGGAATGAACGCTACCGGTCTTTCGGGCCATTGATTAGGACTCCTCATCAACCTCACCCCTGTCTGTCCGATAGGTTGCCTGTGGTCAGGACCATAGCCTGTTCCTAACGGATAAAGGAGAAGTCTATTCTTGTGGATGGGGTGCGGATGGGCAAACAGGTAGTGTACCTCCCACCCTGGGGTGGCGCATGCAGCATGGTGGTGTCCCAGAGGGCTCTTGTGGGCTGGTACCCGCCGCTTCCTGGGGAGCACTGTTCTGTCTGTCCTGCTCCGTTCCCCTCATCCCTGGTGCCCATAGAAACGAATCAATAAAGGATTGGAGCCACCCCTCAACAAAGGAGTTCTGAGCCTTTTAAAGAAGAAGCGTGCTCGATTTTCACTGGTTTGAGAAGAATATCATTAAGGGAAGGGAGGGAGAGGGATAACCTCTATCAACCTTGTATATTTAATCTTTTTGTTATTTGTCTGAAGGGAGGACCTTAAATTCAAGATTTAAATCTTCTATAAATCCTCAGTAATCCTGCCACCGCATCAAATCGTCTTCATTCGTTCTCTCATGTTTTCTTCCAGTTCTTGTTCATATGTGTACATCTTTTAAATTGTAATAATAGCATAGATGTGATTTTATATACTTGTTTTATCATTTAAATTTACATAAAATATTTTCCCACATCAGTACAATTTTCAGTTATGGGTTTTTTAGTTTTTTTAAAGATTTTTTTGGGGAATTGAGGGAGGGGAATTGGGGGAAGGGAAACAGATAAGTTGCTGTGCTTTTTGTTCTTCAGTCTAGTTGTGGAGGACTTCGCTTCACTGGCCCATGTTGGTATTATCATTGCGCTCTTCCCAGGTGAGGCAGATCGGTCGCCAGCCTCTGGACGGCCACTCATGGCGGCTCTTGGCAGCTCACACCACCTGCCGGCTGCTCACGCTGGCTGCCGGCCACACACGGTAACCCATGGCAACCCACTGCAGACAGGGGCTGCAGCCTATGCCGTTGCTGGTGACTCACGGCAGCCCAGCTCCAGGTTGAGCTGTTGTTCACCATCTTAGCTGTAGAGGGCAGTGTCACTGGCCCTCATGTGGGATCCAAACCGGGGCTCCGCTGCTCAGAGCTGGCATCCCAAGCCAGCTCTTAACCAATGCGACACTCGGCCGGCCTTCAGTTATGGTTTTTAATAGTTGTATGATATAGCATGAAACTAATTTACTATAAGTTAAATTAATCATTTAATCAGTTTATCATTTAATCAAACAGTTACTTAACGTTACCCTGTTGTCAGGAGGCACACTGTTTTTGGGGAGGGATGGGCAGTAGCCATTGGAGATTTTCTGCCATCATATATACATATATAGCTTTTTCTTTCTTTTGGATTTTGCCCTAGGATAAATTCTCAGGAGTGGTCAAAGGCTTTGAATATTTTTGTTTTCAGAATGTATTATTAAATTGTTTCCCCAGAGTTTTACCAATTTATACTGCCATCAGCGATGTCCAGAAGAACCACTTTAGGGCCAACTGAGTTGCTCAGTTGGTTTAAGAGCTCGCTCAAGAGTTTGAGCTCTGAGCAACAGCGGTTCGAGTCCCGGCCCGAGCTGAGCAGCCACTGAGCTGCCAACAGGTGGCAGGATGGCTCAGCTAAAAAAAAAAGAATGCAGAAGAACCACTTTAATTATAACCTCTCTAGTAATGACAACTGTCAATTTAAGTGTGCTCATTTAATTACTATGCTAGTTTTCTAAATGTACATTTCTTTGGTAACTATAAAGTTGAAGCATCTCTTTATTTCTAAAATCTCATGGGTCATTTTTAAAAAGCTGATTTTTGTAAAAATAATAAAATTGTTGATACATTTGACAGCATAGACAGGAATAAGGTGCAGCGTAAAAGTCCCACTTGCTGGTGATAACCATGGCTAACGGTTTCCTGGTGCCATTCCAGAAACTTGTTGTCACATGCCACACCTCCTCCAGCCTCACTGCCTTGCTCGCCAGGCTCTGAGTCCAGCCACACGGGCCCCTGCATTGAGTCCCTGGAGCTTGCCCTCCTTTGCTGCTGTGGGAACTTTGCACGTGCCATTCCCTGAGCCGGAATGCTCTTTTTAGCTCTGCTTTTATCCTGTAGGTCTTAGCGTGGGTGTCATCTCTTCAGGGGAGGCTTTTCTGCCTATTTTTTCTAAAAGGTTGTTCTCCTTCTTCCTTAGACTTTGTATCTGAGCATCCCATTCTTTCTTAAACCTTCGACATTTTGAATTACTTTTTAAAAATCTTTTTAATTTATATGTATTATGGTAAATACAAAAGATGATATGTAGGCAGTACTCCCCAAATTGATCTCTAGATTCAGTGCAATCCCTATCAAAATTCTAACTGCCTTACTTGCAGAAAAGGACAAACTGATGCTAAAATTCGAATAGAATTACCAGGGACCACAAATAGCCAAAAAAAAAAAAATTGAAGAATAAAGGAATCACACTGATTTCAAAATTTACTACAAAGCTACAGTAGTAATCAAAAGACTGTGGTACTGGCATAACAATAGGCGTAGCTCAATAGACTAGAATTGAGAGTTCAGAAGTAAACCCATATTTGGGCCGGCCAAGTGGCTCATTGTTTAAGAGTTGGCTTGGGAGCGCAAGCTCTGAGCAGTAGGGCCGCTGGTTCGGGTCCCACATGGCCAGTGATGCTGCGCCCTCTACAGCTAAGATGGTGAACAACAACTCGACCTGGATCTGGGCTGCCGTGAGTCACCAGCAACGGCATAGGCTGCAGTGAGGCTGCAGTGGGCTGCCATAAGCTATCGTGAGTGGCTGGCAGCTGGTGTGAGCTGTTGTGAGCTGCTCTGAGTGGCTGTCCAATGGCTGGTGACCGATCTGCCTCAGCCGGGAAGAGCACAATGATCATAATACCAACATGGGCCAGTGAAGCGACGTCCTCTACAACTAGACTGAAGAACAAAAGGACAGCAACTGGTCTGTTTCCCTTCCCTGATTCCCCAACGCTGTTCCCCTCCCCCAATTCCCCAATAAAATCTTTTTTTAAATTTTTTATTCAGAAGCTTATCATTTTTTTTTAAGATTTTATTGGGGAACAGATGTATTGCAAAAGAATAAATTTGAACTTCTATTTAGACCATCTATAAAAATTAACTCAAAATGGATCAAAGTCATAAATGTAAGAGCTAGAACTATAAAACTCTTAGAAAAAAGCATAGGTGTAAACCTTTGTGACCTTGGATTAGGCAGCAGTTTCTTGAATATGACACCCAAATCACAAGCAAAAGAAGAAACAATAGATAAATTGACCTTCATGAATGTAAAAACTTTTGTGCATCAAAAGACACTATGAATAGAGTGAAAAGACAACACACAGAATGGGAGAAATTATTTGTAAATCTTGTATTTGAAAGGGTGTAGTATCCAGAATACATAAAGAACTCTTAAACTCAATAACAAGAGAAACAACCCAATTAAAAAATGGGCAAAAGTTTTGTGTAGGTATTTCCCCAAATAAGACATACAAATGGCCAATAACGACATGGAAAGATACACAAATAGTTAGCCATTAGGGAAATGCAAATCAGTACCATAATGAGATAGATACCACTTCACACCCATTAGGATGGTTACTGTCAAACCCCCAGGAAATAACAAATGTTGGAGAGGATGTGGAGAAATTGGAACCTTTGTTGCTGGTGGGAATGTAAAATGGTGCAATCGCTTTGGGAAAGTTTGGCCATTCCTCAAAAAGTTAAATGTAGAATTACCACATAGCCCAGCAATTCCACTCCTAGGTATGTACCCAAGAGAAATGAAAACATTTGTCCACACAAAAACTTGTTCACAAATGCTCATAGCATTATTCATAATAGCCAAGTAGAAACAACCCAGATATCCATCAACTGATAAATGAATAAACAAAACAGCATATACATGCAATGGAATATTATTCAACCATAAAAAGCAATGAAGTTTTGATACATATTATGACATGGATGACCTTGAAAATCTTATGCTAAGTGAAAGAAGTCAGACACAAAAGGACACATATTGTGGAATTCCATTTGTATGAAACGTCCAGAATAGGCAAATACATAGAGACAGAAAGTAGATTAGTGGTTACCAGGGCTGGAGGTGAGGTGGGAAATGGGTATTGACTACAAATGGACATGGGTTTCTTTCTGGGTGATGCAAATCTTAAATTAGCTAGAGGCGATTGCACAACAACATTGTGAAAATACTAAAAACCACTGAATTGTAACTTTAAAATGGTTAAAGTAGTGAATTTGTTATGTGAATTTTATCTCAAAAAATGATATGTAACATAAATGTAAATTATAAAATGTTACGATAATAAAATCAACAACTCACGAAACCACTACCCAATTTAAGACCTAGAACATTCTCAATATTTCAGATTCTACCCGTGTGCTCTCCTGTTTCATATGCTTGTATTTCCCCACTAGGGGGATCCAATATTCTAAATTTTATTTCTATTATTCCTTTCTTTGAAGAGATAAAACAATTTACACACACACACACACACACACACACACACACACACACACACACACACCTAAATAACGTATTGACTAATTTTGCTTATTTTAGGGGTCATAATGTTATGTATCTTCTGTAACTTGGTTTAAAGTCAACACTATGTTTCTTAAGATTTAGCCATGTTATAAGTATCTGCAATTCATTCATCCCCTCCCCCCCCCGCCCATTTCAGGTGGGGAGTGGGGAGGCCAATTCTAGCCTGTAGCTTGTTTTTTGTTATTCTTCAATTTTTATTTATTTTTATTTATTTTAATTTTTTTAGTTGAGCCATCCTGCAACCTGTTGGCAGCTCAGCTTGGGCCAGGAGTCGAACCAGCGACCCTGTTGTTCAGAGCTCACACTCTTGAGCGAGCTCTTAACCAACTGAGCCACTCGGTCAGCCCGTTATTCTTCAATTTTTAAAAATTGTGGTTAAATACACATAAAATTGAGATTTTAAGATTATTATTATTTATTTTTTAAATTAACACGACTTTTTGGGGTTTTTTTTTTAGATTTTTATTGGGGAATTGGGGGAAGGGGAACAGACAAGTTGCTGTCCATTTGTTCTTTAGTCTAGTTGTGGAGGACGTTGCTTCACTGGCCCAAGTTGGCACCATCATTGCGCTCTTCCCGGGCGAGGAAGATCAGTCGCTGGCTTCTGGACGGCCGCTCACTGCGGCTGCTGGCTGCTCACACTGGCTGCTGGCTACACACGATAGCCCATGGCAACCCACCTGCTGTCGCCGGCGACTCACGGCAGCCCAGCTCCAGATTGAGCTGTTGTTCAGCATCTTAGCTGTGGAGGGCAGTGTCACTGGCCCTCATATGTGGGATCCGAACTGGGGCCCTCTGGCATCCCAAGCCAACTCTTAACCAACGTGCTGCTCAGCCGGACCCATTTGAGTTTTTAATTTTAACTATATTTTTTTCATTTTTAATTGCTTCCTTTTCAGATTTACCTGGCCATTTTCCATAGTCCCTTGTTCCTGCTTTTATTTCTTTGGACATTGCACAAAGAGTTATTTTTTGTTTTGTTTAGTTTATCATAATTCCAGTGTCTGAAGTCTAGAGGATAGAAATCAGTTATTTGTTGGTTCTCTTTACTCTCACTCATAGTGGCATCTTTTCTTAGGAGTTTAGTAATTTTTTATTGTGACCTCATCTTTTATTGAATTTACTTAGTGGAAACGCCAAGGGCCTAGATTGGAGATGCTTTTCTCCAGAGAGGATTTGGATTTGCTTTGCCTGTTGCCAAAGGTTGCTGCCAGTCTGACACTGCTCTGAGCCTCTGTGAGGAAGCTGGTTTACACAGGAGTCTGGTGCAGGGTTCTGCCTCAGTATGCTGCGCAGGGATTACCGTCCATCGCAGTGCTGATTGTGACATTGTCCTTCGGGCAAGCCCTGTCTTTTCCTCTGTTTACCTGTTTCTGTTTACTGTCTTTTTTGGCGGATGGGGTGGGAGGGAGATTTCCTTTATTTTCTCACAAGCCTAACACTGCATTAGAAATTGCATGTTGTAATATATGCAAGGTCTAATAGGTTCGTTGTACAGTGGTGTTTCATCTTGAGAAATTGCCTAACTTGAATCAGACCTAGAAAATTCCAAGGATTTTTAAATGATCTAATTACAATTATGTCTTTTTCCTCCTCTGAGAAAACGTGGAGAAGGAAGTTGTATAGCATGCAGAGGAACAGGTTAGGATTTCTGAGTTGATATTTGTAAAGTGCTTGAAGCTGTGTTTGGCCTATAGTAAGTGTTTGTTAAGAGAATAAATAATTAAAATAAGTATTTACCATTATGGCAGGTCTGGGCCACTACAATATCACCAGTGTCCCCTCCAAGCTGGCTGGAGACCTCGCCGGAGTGAATGTTGTCCAGGTTGCCACCTACGGTGATTGTTGCCTGGCTGTGTCTGCTGATGGAGGCCTCTTTGGTTGGGGCAACTCTGAGTACCTGCAGCTGGCCTCTGTCACTGACTCCACACAGGTATGAGGTCACTTACAACATGGTGCTGGGAGGTTTGGAAATATAATGTGTCAAGGCCATTTATAACAGGTTTTCCACCTAAGTGTGATGTCCAAAGTGCTGAAGGCCTAACCTTTTGTAGGCTGCCTCTCCAAGGTTCCGAGTTCTGGGGAATCTCATTGGAGTCTGGAAAGAAAGCTTAGGTTTAGAAGCCATCAGTATCAATATTTCAATGAAATGGTCCTGGTTTAAAGCAGTATTTTAGGTATGTCTGGGTAACCTGTCTTGTTCTCAAAGGGATATGAGGCTGTTTACCTAGGTTCCTATGATTTCACAGTGTGTTTTTTGTTGTAGTATAACATGTATGCCCCCAAAGCACACAGATCACTCGTGTGCACCTCGATGAAGACACCTGGGCGACCCCACCCAGGTGAGGCGGTAGGAGCCCTGCCTGCAGCCTCTCCTTGTTACTACCCCCTCCTCACCAAGTGAGCCACCGTCAATACAGTACAGTAGAATTTTAAACGTTTTATTACAGAAAACTTCAAATATAAACAAAAAGTAGAGCTCATTGCATAATTAATTTCTATTTATTCATCACCCATGTTCAATAATTACCAACTAATGGCCCATTTTAAAATATAGAGATATAATTCACGATTTTAAGTGTATAATTTAGTGGTGTTTAGTATAGTCACAAGGTTGTGCAACCATCACCACTATCTAATTCCAGACATTTTTTTTTTTTTTAAAGATTTTTATTGGTGAATTGGGGGGATGGGAACAGTGCTGGGGAATTGGGGGAAGGGGAACAGACAAGTTGCTGTCGTTTTTGTTCTTCAGTCTAGTTGTGGAGGACGTTGCTTCACTGGCCCAAGTTGGCACCATCATTGCGCTCTTCCCGGGTGAGGCAGATCAGTCGCCGGCTTCTGGAGGGCCGCTCACTGCGGCTGCTGGCCGCTCATGCTGGCTGCTGGCTACATATGGTAGCTCATGGCAACCCACTGCCACAGAGGCTGCAGTCTACGCCATGGCCGGGGACTCATGGCAGCCCAGCTCCAGGTTGAGCTGTTGTTCAGCATCTTAGCTGTAGAGGGCAGTGTCACTGGCCCTCATATGTGGGATCCGAACCGGGCCCCTCTGGTGTCCCAAACCAGTTCTTAACCATTGCACCACTCAGCCGGCCCCAGGCATTTTTATTATCCCTGCCCTCCCTTCCTTAAAAAAAACCCATACTCCCTCATAGCCAATTTTGTTGCATCTATAATTCCATCTACTTCTCTGCTCTGGATTATTTTGAAGCAAATCCTAGCTATCAGCTTTCGTCTATAAAAGTTGCAGTATGTATCTCTAAAAGTAAGAACTATTTAAAAGACATACTACATTCCTTAATATCATAAAACTTCTGACAAATACAGAAAGGTTTTAAATATATAGTAATACCTTGGTTTGCGAGCATATTTCATTCCGGAAACAGAATACTCATATTGCAAGACATTACTCATTTACCACGTTAAAATGTATTAGAAATGTTTGCTCGTCTTGTGGAACACTGGCAAACCACGTTACTTGCAATCCAAGGTTTTACTGTATATTAATGGGGGTTGGGTGAGACAGGTGAAGGGATTAAGCACAAATTGATACAAAATAATCACAGGGATGTTAAATTACAGCATATGGAATATAGTCACTAATATGGTAATAACTATATGGTGTAAGGTGGGTACTAGACTTGCAGGGGGATCACTTCATAAATTATATAAATGTCTAACCACAATGTTGTACACCTGAAACTAATATAAAATAATATTGACTGTCAGTTGTAGTTGAAAAATACAAAGATGTGGGATGAATGGAAAAATAAATATATAGTAATGATAAAGAAATATGCACAAAGGGAAACTAAAGATCAGCTAATAAGATGAAAAAATACATTCTCTATGGTCTGGCACAGTGGCTAGAAGTGGTTGCAGATTTGGCCGTGAGCTTCCTAGTAGCCAAAGCAAAGAAGAAAACATGGTCATTTAAATGATTCATTGTGTCTGTATAATCAAGAACAAATGAAGTGTTCAGGAGAAGTACTGCTCTTCCAGTTACCAAGACTTGAGAAAAATGTCTCCCACAGCCTTCCTGTGGGGGACAGGTTCAGTGTTGAGTCATTGTCATATACTGCTGCATAACAAATGATCCCAAAACTTACTGGCTTAAAACAACATGCACTTATTATTTCATAGTTTCTGTGGCCCAGGAATCTTGGGGTGGCTTAGCATGGTGTTCTGGCTCTGTGCCTCTCAAAGGCTGCAGTCATCTTAGGGTTCAGCTGGGGGAGGCTCTGCTTCCAGGACCACACTGGTGGTTGTTGGCAGGAGGCAGGCCCTCGTGGCCTGTGGACTGGGGCTCCAGTCCCTCGATGGCAGTTGACCAGCTAAAGTTGTTGTCCAAGCCTTCCTTGGTTCCCTGCCACCTGGGCTTTGCCATGTGGCAGCTCACAACATGGCAGCTGGCTTCATCAGAGTGAGCAAATGAGAAGGCAAGAGAGATTGCCAGGAGACAGAAGCCAGTGTTTTACAATTTAATCTTGGCAGTGACCTTCCTCAGTCTTGCTGGCATTCTGCTCATTAGGAGCAAGTCACTAGGTCCAGCCCCCAAACAAGGGTGGAGATTACATATGGGTGTGAATAGGAGGGGGTGGGGATTATTGGGGTTCATCTTAGAGGGTTCATCACACCCATGGCTCTTTTCTGTGGCATGAGCCTCAACCTGTCAGTGACAACAGTGGCGGTTCCCAGGGGCTGTTTGTTAAAGTATTTTGCGGTGTTTGCTGAGGGCCTCGTACCAGAGCACAGGGAGGTGAAGCTCCCGAGAGCTGAGCAGCAGAGGCCAGGCCCCAGCCCTGACAGCTGCACTTTACCAGGCAGACATTCTCTGGATCAGTAAGCCCCTTATTCCTTTTGAGTCGACTTAGGGACCGTTCTCTTTCAGCTGTCTCCATTTGAAAGTGGATCTGTAAAGATACATGGCTGTCACTGAAGCACTTAAAATCTATGTTTCCAAAGTTATTCCTTGGTAGAAGTGCCAAGACCAACCCCTGCTGGAAAACTAAGTTTTAGGCTACATGTCACTCTCCAAACCCCTGACCCGCCCATCTCTCACTCAGCAGAAGATCTTGCCTCCTGTTTAGCAGCGAAAACAGATGCGATCAGATGAGCATGCCCTCCTCCCACTGTGACTCCTACACACTTACCTGTGTTTGCCCACCCGGGGCCCATTTCTTTTCCTAGCAGTGGAGGTGGTGTATCCCTTCCTGTTGAAGCTGATTCTTCTCTGTGCCCTGAGTCCCGTTTCCTGCCACCTTCCCAGAAGCCATACTCCACCTGCTGGGCCTTCTTGCCCCTAAGTTCAGCCTCTCCCTGTCTGCCGGTCCCTCCGTCAGTCTTTCCACCTGACTCGTGTCTTCCACCTTCAAAAGCCCCACGTGGACTCCTCCCTGTCCTCCCACTCTCCCCACTTGCAGCCCTTTGGCTTTACCTCCTGTTGCCTTTCTAGGCCGAGCTTCTGCGGAGCGGTGTTTATTTACTGTCTCTGTTTCCTCATCTGCTCCTCATTCCTGGTCCTCCCCACTTAGCCTCCACCCGCATCGGCATGCTGAGTGGCTCTTGCTAGGGTTACCAGGGACCTCCGTGTTGCTAAAAATCCTCATCAAGAACCTGGAGAACATTTTACAATCTATCTTTCTTGACCTCTCAGCGCATTTGACGTATACCATGACTTCTTTGTGGAAAACACTCATCCTTGTACCCCTGTGACTAGACTCTCCTAGTGCTCTCTTGTCTTTCTTGCTCCTTCTTGATCTCATTTTCTGGATCTGTCTTGTGCCAGGCCTTTAAATGTTGGTGACCCCACGGCGTGGGCTTTTGCTCTCCTTCTTTCCCCTGTGTTCCCCTTTTAGGTCTTACGCACACTCATGGCTGCGGTTACCATCCATTGGGTTGTCGGAAAAGTCATGATGTATTTTTTCTCTGTTTTTCCTTGCAAAAATGCGTCATGACTTTTCCGACAACCCTGTATATGCTAATGACTCTCCTTACACGGCAGAGCACCGGAGATTTCCACTGGGCCGCCTCTAGGCACTGTCAGTTCAGTCTGTCCAAAAGTGAACTCATGCTCATCCCGCGCCCTGGTTCTTCTCCGTGTCAGCCACGTCTCTCATGTTTTCTAGAAACCATGTCTCCCCCCTACGTAGAACCTTTGCCGGTCCCCCTGTGTGCTTAGGTGACGGCCAGATCCTCGCTGTGGCCCACACCATCCTGCATGCCCCCCGGCGTCTTGTACCATATTGTCCACATGCCCCGCTTCAGCCGCTCTGGCCTCGTTTAACCACCCGAGCGGGCTGTGCTCGCCTCGTCCCTTCGCACATGCCTCTCCCCTGTTCTTCTCCCCTTGTCTGTTTACTCCTACTTGTCCTTCAGGTCACAGGAGAAGTGAAGCCTTCCCCTTCTGCTCCTCCCCCCAAATTAGATTGGTCTCCCTGACATTCGTTCTCAGAGACCCTGTACTTTCCTTCATTGCATTTAGGACAAATTCTTTTTATGTTAATTTGGGCTGGCGTCTGCCCTCTCCACTAGACTAACCCCTAAGAGAGGAACCACACCTCTTGCTTCCCCTCATATTCCCAACACCCACTTATATGGTTAGCGTATGTTCAATGTTTGGGGACTATTTATGGTGTAAATGAATGAACGGGGACTTAATCTACTCTGCACGCAGGACCAGAATATTTCCAAGTTCTCGCTGGTTTGTCTTCCTAACAATGTGGACCCTTCCTTTGACTCAGGTGAACGTCCCCCGGTGCTTACCCTTTCCTGGAGTGGGCAAGGTGAAGCAGGCTGCGTGTGGTGGGACCGGCTGTGCTGTGTTAAATGGTGAGACTCTCCTGCAGGCAGTTCACTGGGCAGCTGTCAGTGGGTTGGGCGGGGAAGGGCTGGTGTCCATTGGACTCACAGGCCACAGACCTCAGGCCGAGGAAGGGAATGTGGCTGGGGAGATCTAGTTAGATAGGGTGACATTCTTGACAGAAAGATAGTGGCCATGATTTATATGTAGACATCTCGACAGCATGGGCATAGTAATTGTGTAGCAGACCTCACGAGTGGAGAACGAACCACTTTGTCCCTGTCCCTTAGCCTGGGCCAGAGACTCCACTCTGCCTTCTCCAGGGAAGCTGTGCCAAGAAACGAAAGGCAGCTAGGAGGAGAGCTTAGGGGTTTAGATACTGAGATCCATGCTTCTGGGATTAAACATCTGGTACCACTGATGAGTATTAAACTTTTTGTAGCCAAAAAATCATTTCTAAGAGTTTTAGGAATCTGGCCAGAAGTTGTTTAGTACTTGGCTTGGTCTTCTGATCAGTGTGAAACTTAGAGCTGTGAGTAGGAAAAACTGTCATTTGAAAGCTCTCCTGTGTTCACATGGGGTTCTGGGTAATTTATAGACTGGTTCTGTCCAGGTTCCCCTCAAGATGTGGAAGTTTGTATTCTGAGATTGGTGAGCTGGCTAGACATAGTCCACAAGCAAGAATTTGAAAGAGGAGACAAGAAACATTTTAAATATCTGTCAGCATGCCAAGCAAAGAGAAGAAAACTCCATGCGGATAGAATGCATCTTGGTGGTGCAGTCTGATTTCTAGTGAGTGAGCGCTGCTCTTGGTTTGACTTACCGTTGTTTTTCCTGTAATGTAGGGGAAGGACATGTTTCTGTCTGGGGCTATGGAATTCTTGGGAAAGGACCAAACCTAGTGGAAACTGCTCTTCCAGAAATGATTCCACCCACTCTCTTTGGCTTGACGGAGTTCAACCCAGAAGTCCAGGTTTCCCGCATTCGATGTGGACTCAGCCACTTTGCTGCCCTTACCAGTAAGTGATTAGGCCCGTGTAGCCCCAGAGACTGACAGCTGCGCTCGCTGAGGTTCAGCCCCAAACTGTGGGCAGCCCTCAGCTCCATCCATCCGTGGAGCAGTACCCTTGTGGGGATAATTAAAGAGAGTGGCTACTCCAGAAGTTGTTTGGCTTGAGGTTGTATAATGTATGTCTTTTTTTCAACCTGGAGTTTTTGTTTTTGTTTCATTTGGTTTGTGGTTAGGCTAATGTGAAAAGTGAATTTTCTCCAGAGGACACCAGTCTGTGGTAGGAGAGGGGACCCTTGAGTATGTTGGGGTGCCTGGTGCAACCAGCAGAGGTTTGGCAGCTCTGCGGTGGGTAATTAGGAAATGAATGTGTGGGGCTTAATCCTTTGCTTGGCCAAGCCCAAACCCGATCTGACCCAGGAATGTGGGGTGACAAGAGGCAGAGTTGTAGACCATCCTGTGGTTTTGTGGAAGTAAATCTGCCCGATTTCTCCAAAGTGCTGGGGGAGAGAATGATCAAAGGGGAGACTGGAATGGAGGTTTTCTCAAAGGCTTGCCAAGTTACAAAGCCATAACATATCCAGTTTCTCTACAGACCTCTTGATGACATCTCCTATTCTTACCACAGTGGCTGTTGGTTCAACTTGTTCTTCTTTAGTTGACTTGAACTGTCAGACTGTATTAATTTTATTTCATTTTGTGATTGTCAAGTAAATTCGGTATTTCCTTGCAATTAAAAAACCTTTTCATCTCATGGTAATTGTTTTCTTTTAAACATCTGGCCCGGGACAGTCAGTTCGGGTCATCCTTGTTTGTGTTCTCTGGCCCCATGCTAATCTGAGGACTGTTCCAGAGCACTACCATTCAGTATTGTCTGAACTCCCTGCTCTGGGGGACTAAGACACACAGGCTGTGGTGGGGACCATTGTACTGGTGGGTGGAGCCCTGCCTGCCTGGATCACAGCACCAAGTGGCAGCAGTGCTCGAGCCTGCTTCCATTTACAAAGGGGTCTAGTTCATGTGCGTTTTTTAAAGCGACTGCGACTTAGTAAATAAGAGTCATGATGGACTAATTCTGGAGGTGTCCGTGATCTATTTTCCAGACTGTTCTAAGGCTTAAACTAGGTGCTGAGTCACATACTTGGAAATCCATATGAAAGGTTCCACCAGAGTAGACTGTTTTCTTTTTGCTGTCATGCTGTGTGGCCATTTTGGGTGACACTGAAATGAAATCCCTGTCTAGATCTCCCCCAAGACCCAACAGCCACCCTCCATGTGGCGGTTACTGCCTTTTGGTAGAGGGAGCATCAGAGCTTGGGCGTCTCCCATCTGTGTGCCCAGCGTTAGCATGTGACCAGCTGGGAGTTGGAGTTGGTTGGCTTACCCTGAGGTCTGCTAACATTTGGGGGCACCAGACTGAATTGTTCTGTTAGATACGTAAAATCTGAGGGTGGAGGACCAACAACGATGGTCAGACTGGGGGGCTCTGACAGCTCCTTACAAAAGGATTCCTTATTTAGTCAGCCCATATTATTTTAGTCCTGGCTTCTCCATGTCTTTTCTTCTACTTCTATTGCCAGGTGTGGGGTAGCGAAGTGGGGCCTCTGTGCCAAGGAGCGCCCGAACTGATGTGTACTGAAGGCTTGGTGCAGGAGGCTGCCCTACAGATCTGGGTGCCTTCCTGGAGGCTGGCCTTCCCAGAGCCCCTGTCTAGATGTGGTCTCCTGGGCTGTCCTCTGCAGTACCCCATCTGTCTTGTCCTTCTTGGCACTCTTTACAGTTTGTAAGCATATATATTGGGTTGTCGGAAAAGTAAAGACGTATTTTTTCTGTTTTTCGTTGCAAAAATGCGTCATGACTTTTCCGACAACCCAATATATCTGTTTGATCGTGTGTTTATTTCTAGCTGTCCGAGCAGTCCCATGAAGATATCTGGTCACTGTGCTGTCCCCGCTCCTAGTACACAGACGTGGTCTTGACCCAGAGGTGCCCAGTCACCATGTGTCACTTGACCAAATGCTCTTGAGACATGGAAATCCAGACAAGGAATGACAAATCGTCCTACTCCTCACACTGTCACATTAGAAAGGCCCGGGCGTGGTTGGGATTTGAGGATGCTCGGATTTCACAATCTGTGAAGGGCGGGGTTTGCTCACACACAGCCATGGGCGGGGGCGAATGCATGAGGGGCGGGCAGAGTGGACTGTGTGCACAAGCCCCCTCCGCCCACGGCCCCGTGTCCATGCTCATCTCCTTTGTGATGGACAGTGTCATCCTGGGCTTGGGTGGGTTCTGGAATGGGGGCAATATGCTTTCCCCTTCAAAAGAAAGCATTCCTGTCTGGTGGAAATGCAAGGTTAACATCGGCCTCTGTTTGTATCAGGTCCTGGAAAGCATGTCTCATGCAGGGTCCTTCCTCTTCTTGTAGATGTGCCCTCGACCTGGTCCCAACCAAACCCCCATTTTTCTTCCTCTGCAGACAAAGGAGAGCTGTTTGTGTGGGGCAAGAATATCCGAGGGTGCCTGGGAATCGGCCGCCTGGAAGACCAGTACTTCCCATGGAGGGTGAGGCTGGGCTGGGCGGGCAAGCGGGATGCCTACAGGGCAGGCTCACGGGAAGTGCTTCGCCAGCACCAGCTCCCTGGGAGGCGGCCCTCCTCCTGCCCCACTGCCTCAGGTGAGGCCACGCCTGTGTGGGGCTCCCCTCCCGCAGTGCCCTCTAAGAAGCCTCGTGGGAGGCTGTCCTTGGGGACGTGGAAGCACGCGGGTGCCTCGGAGAGGAGCGAGCGGCCGGCCAGGTGCAGGCGGCTCTGGGAGGCTGTGGGACGGGGAGGTCTGAAGGGCAGGGGTTGGCCTGCCAGGAGCTGTTTACAGAGGCCCGTGCACAGGAGTGTTTTACAGCAAATTTAGAAGAAAGCAGGACGTTTAATATTTAGAGTACCTTACCACAGCCACCAACGTGAGAAAAGAAAAGCTGTTCTGAGGGGGAGGATGCAGCGAGACAAAGAGGCTCATTTCAAAATTAAAGGGGAGCAGAGTTCTTGCTTCAGTTGTAGTTTATCTTAGCATTGTTTACTGAGTTTTTTAAGTTCTTCTAAAAAACAGCTGTTTGTTTTTTTGAGCGCAGAACATGTGTACTTGGAACAAAGTGTATTATGAAAAATAAGTTTCGCATGTCTTGTCCCGGAGGCAGCCATTGGTACTGGTTTCTGATGTTCCCCTCCATGGCCGTCTGTACGTAGAGGAGGGTGTGTGTGTGCCTGTGAGAGTGAGAGTGTGTGTGTGCGCGCGCGCGCACATGAACATGCCTAAGTATTTTCTCTGAAAGTTCGATGTTAATAATGTTTTGAATTCGTGTAAAGCATTTTTTAAAAACACATGTAAAAATGCAGAAGACAATGTAATTTAAATAAAATAAGGATTTGTCTGTCGAAAGCCCACTGCAGAGTGTTTTGAGGCACTTGGGTATTTTAGGCCCTTCCCTCTGCTGCTGGCTGTCCTGGGTCCCTGTGGAACTGGGCAGGCCCTGACACCTTTATTAAGGTTTTGGTGCAGTTTCTAAGAGAACAGGTCAAAATGGAGACTTCCAACTTATTAGACAAATAGTAGTTGTGCACCAGGGTCATTCCCAAGCTGGCTGGCGCTTGCTTGCTCTTCCCTGGGCCTGGGAATACCATTCTGGGGGAGTGGAGAGGCAGTTGGAAGACGGCGGATGGCACCTCCGGGAGTGCGAACATCAATAATTTAGACATCCTGCTTGTTTTCTTGGTAGTTCCGTTCTGCCCTCTCGTGAACCCCACCAAAAAGGCCTTTCTGAGGGGAAGCTTGGGAAACAGTAGAGCAACTTGGTTTTGATGGATGACCGCTATGACCAGCGGCTCTCCACCTGCCTTCAGTTCCTCCAAATTAGAGCAAAGATGTAAGGACAGCGATGAAATAAGACTGGAAACCTGACAGCTTTTTCCCTGTTGAAATGGCTGGGCCAACCTTTGGGCCCTATTGTGAAGCTAGAAGCAGCAGGGGGCTGGGGGATGACACCACTTGCCATTCAGACTAACCCCAACCCCCACTCCCCCCCCCCTCGCTTTCACTGACTCCTCCTCACTCACCAAGCCTTCCTCTGGGAATGTCATTCCGTGCCTCTGTGCCATCAGGGAAAGGATACTCGGTCTGTCCCTGTGACAGCTGCTTTCTTGCTGAACTGTTGTCCTCCCGCTTGTATATTTGTTGAGTCCTGTTTGTGGAGCTCCTTTGTCCCCTTGTCACTTTTTGATTGTTGTTAGGAGAGGCTCCGGAGAGGACCTGACAGGACGGTGCTGAGGTCCAGTGGCCTGGCCCTTCCCGCTCTGCGCAAGCCCGAAGACGCGAGGCTGAGGCGCCAGGACAGTGGTGGCAGGAACCAGGTTTTGGATCAACGAGGCTGATTCCTTAAAGATTCGAGTACTCTGTTGTTGGGTAGTTGGATCTTATTCTGTTCTGTTGTACTCATTTAAAAAAACTACAGGTGATTTTTATTCTTTAAAAAGACTGCATTTTGTTACTAATTTTCAGTTGGAGATGTATTACATCATTTAAAAAGTATTCCAAGAAAGAAAGAAAAGTCAAGTCTTCTGTGTAGCTCCTAATGATGATACTAACTAGTTATTCTTAGACTCACAGAACCTGGGCTTTTCTGGCAGTATGGAGGCCCAGGTTGTGACATCTTAGCCACCTGATTTATTTAAACCTCTTCTTCCAGAAGCTTTCCAGGATTCTTCCTGCCACCCATTGACACTCAGAGCTCAGAGAGGTTCAGCGATTTCTTCAAGGTCACACATGTAGTAAGCAGAGCCATGATTTGGATTCAGATATGTGACTGTGAGACATAGTCTCCTCACCGTAGTCCCGTCCTCTGCGAGGGCCTGAGCTGGAGATGCCAGGTCCCTGGCCGTGCAGGTGTCGTCAGGTCCTTACAGGACCCGCTGACCTAAATGGTATAGGAACAGGTATAAGAACAGTGGGCACTGCAGGTATAGGAACAGGCTGCCAGGGGAAGCTTTGGCGTGGCCTCCACCTTTCACCTCTGGGAAATGCCCTCATTCTCCCCAGACAGACGTGACCGCCTTTCTGAGGGGGCGGCAGTGCTGTCAGTGTGCTGGGCGCCCGTATTCCTTCTCTCGTATCCTTAGAACAGCCTGTGAAGGTGGGGCCTCTCCCCACAGTGTGCACCTGTGGACCCTGACTTCAGGAGTTGAAGGGGCTGGCCCCATCTCATAGCCACTCTGGGTGGGGCTGCAATGTGAACTTGGGACTCTGCCTGCAGGCTGTGCTGCCCCCGCGCCCGCCGTGAGCCCCTCTGGTCAGGAGCACAAGCTGGGAAACCCTCTGACTGCCAGGCCGCTTTCTTATATGGCCGCCTCAGTGGACACAGGGAGGTGCACTATGGGAGTGGGGTGCCTTGGGGCAGTGCCTCGTTGCAGGCTGAGCTCTCTCCCTTTCTCAGCCTGGTCACATGGTGCCAGGAAGGAAATTTCAGATGTGTCCAAGTGGGCGAGTCTGCTGGGCCGGGTCACAGCCTTCCTCTGCCTTTCACATGGTGGGTGCTTGTTTTAGGAACATAGAATCATGGAGAGAGATGTTCCTACACTGATTCTGCTCAAACTTCCAAGTTCCTCAGGCTAAATATGCTTCTGGTTTTTAGAACTGGTTCCCTTTGCAATAATGTTGTGAGTGTAAATTGGTTTAGAATAGAAACTCCTTTTAACCTTGACGAGGACAAAAATAAAACATGGCTGAGGGCAGTCGTCTTTTGGACTCCGTTCAGAGATGTGAGGCTGCGAGCAAGCGCTCGCCACGGGGAGCCGCCTGCTGCTCCCAAGAGGGCGATGGGGGCCAGGCCCGCACGCCCCAGGCCAGCCTCAGCCAAGACCATCATCCTGGTGAGTAAACCAAGGCCAAGTGGTTTACTCCGCTTTGGGCACTAGTGGCCAGAGCACCTGGGGAACTGATCAGCTCGGCTGCAGATTGGTATGTGGAGTGGCCGTCTCCCTGGGAATGGTCAGTAATGTGCGCTAATGGCCTGGGGAGGTTGCCCAGTCATCACAGAAGCAGCATGTTTCCCGCTGCTTCCCTGGCCAGCCCGGACCGCTCTCTGCACCTGCTAGCCTTTGCGATGAGCTGGGGGCACTGCTGCCTGTTTATTCAGTGATTTCTCTAATAGGCTTACTAAAGACGTTTGTTTAGGGAGGGGAGTAGGGAGCACGACTTGGTTACCAGTGCCCATGTGCTCGTGGCCAGAGTCCCTAACGGACTTGTCTCCCACCCGATGCAGGCACCGCGCTCCAGGGCCTCTAGGCCAGGCCATCTGGGTTAGGCCTCTTCCTCCCTTAAGCTCGGTAAACTCCGCAGGCTGCCACACACCCCCTCTCTAGCTGTCACCACCCAGCTCAGTGCCATCAGCAGGGCAAGATGGCAGAATTCAGATCTGGTCAGAATGGCGGCATTGGTGTCCCGGCAGACGAGGCACTGTCTGAAAATTTACTACCTAAGAAGACAGCGTACTCGGTGATTGCCTCTCTTTGCATCAAGAACCTATGAAAGGACAATGAGAAACCAGCTCTGAGTAGTTTCCATTTCAGAGGAAAGGGCAGGAATGGAGCAGATGATGAGGGTGGTAGTAAAAGGTATTGAATACCTTTTCATTCTTTTTCACCAAATGTCATTTTATATTGTAGGCATGTGAATGTATTATCTATTCAAAGTAAGAGTGAATGAATGAATGAATGAATGAATGAATGAATGAATGAATGAATGAATGACTGGGAAAGAAAAGCGCCCTTTTCTGGAGAACTGGTGTGGCCCTGTGGGTGTGGAAATCCTTGCGTCATGGGCACACCCATTTCCAAGGCCAGACTGTAGAACAGCGAGTCATTTTAAAGGCAAACAGGCTGGAGCCTGCGTATCCCACAGGGCTGTCTGCTGTGCCCTTGGCTTTCCTGTGATGAAATGTTGTCAGTGAATGGGCAGTGTTGGCAGGACTGCCAGCCAGGCCTTTGGCACCTTCTGAGGCAGTAGGCATTCCCCCTCGAGGGTGCACGTGACTTGTGTGCGTGTGTCTGGAGCTGGAGCTGGTGGGCAAAGCAGGTAAAGACACCGGGCCCCAGGGCCTTGTTCTCAAAGTAGACCCTGAAGGCAAGAGAAAGGGTTTCTCGAGCTGCTCCAGTGAGCCATGGTGGGGACACACCGGGCTTGAGAGCAGGCGTTGCCCTCTGGCACACTCAGAGGGGAGTAACCTCTGTGGGATGTGCACTCAGGGTCCCTGCTTGTGCCCAGACTGGCCTCTTGAGGGTGGGCATGAACAGTAACGTCTGCTGTTGAGCAGGTGGGGAGTTGGGTGGCCCTGTCCACGGTGACCATATTTACTCGTCCCAGCAGACCTGCCAGGTGGGTGGAAGCACCCCCATTTCCGGGGGAGAGCCCCACGGCTCACCCACCGAGAGGCAGACCCGCGCTCAGGCCCTGGCGGGGCCACCTCCACGCTTGCTGCCTCCCCTCACCGTGTGTGGGTCTTGTTTTTCAGGTGACAATGCCTGGGGAGCCCGTGGATGTGGCGTGTGGTGTGGATCACATGGTGACTCTGGCCAAGTCGTTCATCTGAATCTCCTACCTGCCCTGCTCAAGTCTGGCCCTGGCCTCATAACCACCTGGACTGCTTAGCAGAGCCCCCTGTGGGGACTCTGATGGGCTCAGAGACGATCAGGCACCTTCCTGAAGTGTGACAGCCTCTCCTAAAGCCCTTACAAGTACACACCGGCAGTCCTGGGACGTGGTCCCTGCTCCAGGTAGGGGTGAGACCTGCTGAATTCAGCACCGGACGTCTGCCTTTATCCAGCCGATCTGCAGCAAGACAGGTCCCAGGGCTGCGTGCGTGGCCCTAGCAGGGCACGAGTAATTCACATTTCTCAGCGATTCCAGCGAACACGTGATGGCTTCTGGCGTCACATGTGCCCCCAAGAAACTGGTCTTAGGAAAGCTTAGCTCTCACGGCATGCCATTTTGTTTGTTCTTAAGAGGACAGACAGAGTGTAGTGCTCAGGAGGGCTTCTGTAGCACCTGGGATCCTGGCAGAGCTCTTGGTGGGTATGTGGGCGGGCTGTGCATGGGCACTGGGGGAGCCCCAGCCTGACCGGGAGCCAGCTGGCTTCGGCCTGAGGCTTTATTCAGGCCCCCCCTGCCCACCCAGCCACTGCCGGTCAGCTGCCCACAGCAAGTTTGCTGCTGGGACACGTGGCTGAATGCCTTGGATTCAGGTTCTCCCTGAAAATACTGGTGGGCATCAGCTTGGTACCCCATTGGCGCACGGCTTGCATCAGCCTGGTGACCATTCTCACTGCCTGGCTTGGAAAGTGGAGAAGCCCCCGCAGGAAGAAGATTGAGGCCGGATGCTTACGAGCTGAGGGCTCTGAACACATCCCACAAGTGCTCGGCTGGAGGCCAGCCTTGGAGGAGAAAGATTTCAAAATTGTGAAAAACATTTGTGATAGTAACTTAACTTGTCTTATTCTTTAAAAACATTTCTTTTGAAATAAAGTCTATTTTCTGCCTTTTTATTTTTAAGACGTGAAGAGGTCTTTTTATTTTACCTGATCATTTAGAGATTAGCTTTCAAAAACAAGGCTTTTGATAAAGAGGCAACTAGTGAAAAAATACAGTAGAAGACATTCCTACTTGAAAACTATTTTCTGAACAGCCTACTCCCACAGTTCAATCGGAGGAAAATAATGAAGTATAAAAATAACTGGAAGTCACGTCACCACTGGGATTTCACTCCCTGCCTGCACCCCCTTCCCTTTATTCATTCACTCAACAGATACTTACTGTGTGCCCCCGATGTGCCAGCACTGTTTACCGCACTGGGCCACATGGTAACAAATTCCTTTAAGCAGGTCTCGTGAAACTTACGTTCCAGGGGGCAAAACAGACAATAAACAAACAGAATGGTAAGTACGTTAGATGGTTGTGTGGGCTGTGGAGAAAAATGAAGCAGAAGGAGATGGATGATGTCAGGAGGGCTGCAGCTTAAAGTGGAATTGTCACAAGCAGCTGTCCTTGCTGTGACCTGAGAGCAAGAACCAACCAGGTGGTGTATGGGAGGGCGGCCCCAGGACCCCTTGTCTCGGCTCATGCTACGCCCCTTCTCTGCGGGGGTCCAGCTCTTAGGTTTATTACAGCAAAACTTTCCCATAAACTTGAAATAGAAATTGAAAACAATTTGTCATTTTCCTTCCTGAAACCCCCAGATGGGGCTGAGTACCACGTCGCTCTAGCAGTAAACAGAAATCGGCCCTCAGTGAACACTCACCTTAAAGCACATGCTGATTTACGGAGCGTGAGCTCCCCAGAAGGGCGAGGACAGTAGTTGATGGCGGTGATGGAGGGTCTCCAGTGACGTTGGAATGGTTAAGCCTCCCACCAAGTGGCAACCAAGATTCAGCTCCAAAAATAACCTGGACACAGCAACCAGGGCATAAAAAGGGATAACTGTGGATTTTTCTTAAAACCCGGTATCTTCCAGTCGGGCTTGGTCTGCCCAGCCGGGTGCCATTGGCCGCGTTCTTAGTGGGTAACAGGAGTTTGTGGTCAGAGTGCATCTGCCACACACTGGGCCCTTTCTGTGGTTGTCCTCTGTGGACGGCTGTGTCCCTTCTCAGCTTTTGTCCCCTTTCCCCATTCCCTCCCTGCATTTAACACACAAACCACCTGTGCCATTAGCTTGGTTGCTATGATTTGTTTCTGTGCAAAGTTGGTGTTTGCAGCTCTGGTCTCACTTTAGTGAGCGCAGGAATGCCACTCTGAATGAAGTGACCACGGGCCAACTCCATGTCCTCTATCCATTCTTTCTTCTTAGACTCTGTCCATGCATACTTTTGGGGTTAGTAGCTGAAGCCAGTGCAGAGCCAAGTGAAAGATGCCACCAGAAAGGTGTGGGGACTCTCATCACTTGGCCACTAGCATTCCTCCAGTGGACAGTCGGTTCCCAAGGTGCTTGGGTCTGTCTTCCGTCCCCTGAGCTCCCACCAGACCTGCAGGCTGCCACTCCGTAGTGCGATAGGAATGGCTCTGACTGGCACACAAAACCTAAATCAGCTAATAAAAGTTACTTGGCCTGCCGCTCATGTAAGGCCAACCCCTAACATGCTCAGGATCCTGGCATGACCATTCTTGTTTCTTGAATAATGGTTGGCCCAGGTTTTCATGAATCCAGGAAACACCAACTTGGGCACTTAACTGTGTTCCATGTGACAAGCCAGGTGCTAAGAGTCACACAGTCGAGATGGTGCCGACTTGGCCCCACAGGTTACAGGTAGTGCCCAGCACTACCCTGCACAAGGTAAAAGCACAGGCTGCATTTGGGAAGGTCCACACTGCTCTCACATCACAGCCCGGGCCCAGTTCCTGTAGGGGCCCAGCCTCTCCTGACCAGCCATGGGAGCTGCTCACACCGTTCTGAGGACACTTCTCGGAATCGCTGCATCAGAACTGATTGAGTGCCTCCTCCTAACTGTGCAGGACACCTCTCGGGTGGCCTTGGGGGCAGCACCCAGCACTGGCACCGAGAAGCGGCCGTCGCCCTGGCCTACCCTGCCCTGTGATTGTGCCCCGGGAACTTGCCCTCTCCCAGGACTCCACACTTGCCCTTCTCTCTCCCAGAGGTTCGTGCTGCACCGACCAAGAAATCCCAAATGCAAGCCTTGCTATTTAACACGGTGCAGCAGCAGCTGAAGTTAAACTTGAGCTGGCAACAATGCTTGGAGTCCCTCTTAGCTGTGCTTTTCTCAGATCTGGGACCACACTGAGGTACATGCTCAGCAGTCAACCTTAAAATGATAAATCCAGATACTGTCCCCTCCTCAGACCAGGAGTTGCCTGTCTTGCTAGGGAGGCAATAGGTGGGCTGTAGCTGGTGGGGGGGTGGGGGGGCTGTCCATGGGGGAGCAGAGAAACATCTTGCTGTCGCTCTGGTAGCATGGTGGCAGCTGAAGTGCCAGGAGACCAGAGAACAGAGCACACAAAACCATGCCCATCAGAAAAATGCCCCACTGGAGTCCAGCCTTGGAGCTAAAGACTGAACAGGCTCAGGCTCGTGGCCCTAAGCTGTTCCACAGCTGCAGTTGTCGATCCTCATTCCAGTGAGAGAATATTGAGGACGAAGCAGAGGCTTGATGGGCTATATTGGGTTGTCGGAAAAGTCACGATGCATTTTTGCAACGAAAAACAGAAAAAATGTCATGACGTTTCCGACAACCCAATATATCCATACTCCTGAGCACCCACCATACACCAGGACCTGCCAGGCACAGGGGATGCTGTGGTGAGAAGGGTGCGTGCGTTCCAGCTTGAGGGTCTGGGGGATGGTTGCCTCTGTTTGGCCCGGCCTTCATGGAGGCCACCTGCCCCCAGGCAGAATTCACGAAGGGCTTTCGGACAGATTCTTCCCCCTAACCCTGCACTTCTCAACCCTGGCTGTACCATAGGATCATAGGGGGATAGTCTTTATTTTTGATAGACCGTATTTTGTCTATTCATCATCATTCTATGGACGTTTTGGTTGGTTCCATTTTTGGGCTATTGTGAATAATGCCAAAACATTCATGTGCACATTTTACATTGGTCCAGCTCTTCATGTTTTGCAACATTTCCATACAAGACTTTGTGTGAATGCTTTCAGTTTTCTTGGGTATATACCTAGGAGTGGAATTGTTGGGGCATTCGTTTAAGTTTGACAGTTGTATCATGTGATTCATAACATACTCGGTCATCTTGAGTTCCAAGATACTGAAATGTTGATTTCCCCAGATATGATGTGGACTGTTGCCCGCAGGCTCGTTAGGTCCGCTCTGCCAGCTTCTCCACACTTCTCCCTCTATGTCAGGACCCTCTCCACATCCGGGGTTCATCAGTGTGACGAGATAGGCCACGGCTCTAGCTGATGCCTGCTAGAGCTTCCGCTGGTTCAGCTCAGGTAGGGCTCTTGGAAAATCACCTCAAAGGAGGCGCCCCACCGTCAACCTTTGCAAGGTAAGGAAGGACCTCCGTGCTCTTGCCCCTGGCTTACTCTTCCTTCTCTGTGCTAACCTTCACTGTTTTTAGGAAATTTCTTTAACCGTCAAGGGTTGTCAGAATAACTCACATTTCTTGGCTGTCCTTCATGCTGCCCATCCACACCTGTTGCTTTTTCTACCACATTCCTTTTTTTTTGTTTAATAACAAAACCATTTTAAAGTGTACAATGAGTGGTTTTGAGCATATTGTTTGTGTGGTGCAACCATCACCATGAACTCATTCCACACATTCCCTTTACAGAGCTGGTTTTTCCGAGCTATTTTTTTTTTTTTTACCATCCTGACACTCCCCCCCACCCTCAACCCCGACCCCCAGCTGCATTTCACATGATAAAACCAGGAGAGGCAATGACCACACAGGATGCGCTTTCCTTCTGTGGCCTTGTGTTCTTTTTTTTCAAGATGTTTTTATTGGGGAATTGGGGGAGGGGAACAGGGGAGGGGACCAGCCAAGTTGCTGTTCTTCAATCTTAGTTGTGGAGGGCGCCAGTCGCCATCTGGCTTCCTGTCGGCAGCTCGTGGCCTCTAAGCTCAAGGTGCTGTTTTCAATCTTAGTTGTGGGTGGGCGTAGCCACCATCCCATGCAGGAGTCAAACCCAGCAGCCTTGTTGTTAAGAGCGCATGCTCTATCCACTGAGCCATCCGGACGGCAGCTCAGCTCAAGGTGCTGAGTTCAGTCTTAGCCCACCATCTAACAGGCAATCTTGTTAATACCAGCTGAGCCATCCTGCCACCTGTTGGCAGCTCAATTGCAGCTCAGCTCGGATACAGCGTCACTGGCCCATGTGGGAATCGAACCAGCAACGCTGTTGCTCAGAGCTCATGCTCTTAAGTCAACTCTTAACCAACTGAGCCACTTGGCCGGCCCCCTTGTGTTCTTTTTGAGAGCATGTAGAGAAGCTTTTCAAACTGTATTGAGACCGGCCAAGTGGCTCAGTTGGTTAAGAGCATGAGCTCTGAGCAACAGGGTTGCCGGTTCAATTCCCACATGGGCCAGAGAGCTGTGCCCAAGCTGAGCTGCCAACAGGTGGCAGGATGGCTCAGTTGGTGATAGCATGTGCTCCTAACTACAAGGTTTCTGGTTCAACTCCTTCATGGGATGGTGGGCTATGCCCATCTGCAACTAAGATTGAACACGGCACCTTGAGCTGAGTGGCTGCGAGCTGCCGATAGGTGGCCGGATGGCGACTGGACTTGGGAGCTGAACTAGCTGCGCCCTCCACAACTAAGATTGAAGGACAACAACTTGGTTGTTCCCCTTCCCCAATGCCCCAATATAAAAAACTCTAAAAGAAACAAACAAAAAAACTGTATTGAAGCCAAGACCAATTGAATCGGACCTTGGGGGTGGACTCCTGGCATGGGTAACCCCCCAGGGGGTTCCATGCGATCTGGGGTGAGAACCCTGTTGAGAAGCAGCCAAGGCTGCTCCCAGCAGGAATTACGCACTGGTTGGGTGAGGGGTACATCCATGGTTCTGAGGGTTGGTGGCACATCAGCCAGTCCTCTCCTTCCATCACCGCCCCCGCCACCCTGACTCTGCACTGGGAAGGCCCTGGAGCCCTGAGCGCTGAGGCCATCACCCTGGCCCTGACCATCCAATTTTCCTCCTATCAGCCATAGTCAGTAACCCAGACCCACCAGTCAAAGGCTAAGCAGCCTCTTACGTAAACATCCTCCACGTCTCCCCGGGGCCTGGAGAACAGTGTGAGCCCCCCGGCCGACCTGAGCACCCACCTTGCATTTCTATCCTTATTCCCTACCAGCCTCATCCATTTTCTCCCTCTCCATTCCAGCTGCGGTTCCCTCTAGGCCCTCTGCGCCTTTGCTCTTCCCTCTGCTCGGTCCCCGGTCTTACCAAGCTCAACGTTAATGTCCTGGCTCCCTGGTCTCCCTCTGCTGCAGGGCAGTGGCCATTCCCCGGCCCCAGGGCACAGCATGTCCTGTGGTCTGGCACTGCACTCCCTGCACAGCTCACTTCTGTCTTTACGCCTCCCGGAGCAACGCAGGTCTGGCCATGGCAGGTTCATCTGGGTGACAGTGAATGTGAATGAGTGGTGGGAAAGTGAGGCCTTTGTAACTGGCTGGACAGTCGGGCAATCCAGAGTCCTGGTGGATGTCGTGGCTCCCGTGAGGTATCTAAAGGACTGAGGGGGCATTAGTCTGCAGACCCCAGAAAGAAATGCCTTCACAGTAGCCAGAACTTTCTTGGGTTCAGATGGCGAGAAAGTGCTTCAGCACCAATTTCCACTCCCTTCCATCTCCAACGCCGCTTCTCCTAAGGGACAGGGGTGAGGTGGGGTGGGGGTGGGGTCGAGTACAGGCACAGCTCTGCCCTCCAAGGAAAACATCAGAGGGGCAGGGTGGAAGGTGCCCAAGGTCCAGGACCTGCTGGCCTCAGGCCTCTCTCTTTTTTTTTTTTTAAGATTTTTTATTGGGGAATTGGGGGGATGGGAACAGTGCTGGGGGGTTGGGGGAAGGGGAACAGACAAGTTGCTGTCCTTTTGTTCTTCAATCTAGTTGTGGAGGACGTTGCTTCACTGGCCCAAGTTGGCACCATCATTGCGCTCTTCCCGGGTGAGGCAGATCAGTCGCCGGCTTCTGGACGGCCGCTCACTGCGGCTGATGGCCGCTCACGCTGGCTGCTGGCTACATACGGTAGCCCATGGCAACCCACTGCCACAGGGACTGCAGCCCACGCCGTCGCTGGCGACTCATGGCAGCCCAGCTCTAGGTTGAGCTGTCGTTCAGCATCTTAGCTGTGGAGGGCAGTGTCACTGGCCCTCATATGTGGGATCCGAACCGGGGCTCTCTGGCGTTCCAAGCGAGTTCTTAACCATCGCGCCACTCGGCCGGCCCCTCAGGCCTCTCTCTTGCCTGGGCAGTCCCGGTGCCCACCTGACAAGACGGCAAGAGCCAAACGTCAGAGTGCTTGAGGGAGGGACGCTGATCTTGTCACAGCCCTGTCCTGCTCCATGGGCTCCCTGACCCCCCAGGCTCACCTCTATCAGAGGCTGGGGGAGAAATGGTGGGTGTTGCAGCCAGTTTCCAAGATGGCCCCCAATGACCTTGGCCTCTTGTGTGGTCTCCTCCCGGTCAAATCAGCTGGGCTGTATGATGGTCGAGTATGGTGGGGGTGATGGTGCACGGATACTGAGGTAGGGGGGAAAACATTTTGGCTCTGACCTTGAATCCCTTGCTCAGAGGGAAGGTAGGCATCATCCTGTGAGGACACCTGAGCAGCCTTGTGGGGACTCCTGTAGAGAGGAAATGAGGCCTCCTGCCAACGGCAGCCCTGAGAATGAACCACTTTGGAAGTGGACCCTCCAGTCCCAGCCAGTACTTCAGATGACTGTAGCCTCATAAGCGGCCCTGCGCCAGAACTGCCCAAACTGCTCCTGACTTCCCCACAGAAACCATGACATATAAAGAATCACTTCAAGCCATTAAATTTTGGGGCAACTTGTTCCATAGCCCCTCTGGCTCAGGGGCTGTTTCATCTCTGATTCTGGGTGTTGGGCTGGAAGGCTTTTTGGCCTTCCTCCCAGCCCCTGGCCTCTGCTCCCCCATCCACAGTGTGGAGCAAGGGGAGATGCGATACAGCCCTGGGTCTGCACAAATTTAGACAGCCGTCAGCCAACATCATTTTTTTTCTCCATTTTAATCAACACTTTACAAAGTACAAAATATACTGTCTTTTTTGGGGAACATTAGGTACTTTTTTCTCTCCATCATACAGTACATGAATCTCGAGGGTTTTGTGTTTCTTCAACAAAGTAAGCATGAGGGGCCCAGGTGTAGGGCTGCCCAGTTCTCCCCCTCACCCAGACCTTGGGACAGATGTAGGTGCCACTGCTACTGCTGGTGACCTGGGGCATGCCAGGTGAGGGCTCGACTCCCCAAGATAGGCTCCTTGGAGCCCCCCCCCCCCGTGCATCCAACATCCACTCACCCCCATCTCAGATAACGGAAATGATTTTGGCATAGAGCAAGAGGGGGGCTTGGGATTTGATGTCAGGTACCCCCCACCCCAGTTTGGTAGCCAACCCTGCTCAGTTCTTCCTGGATCATTTTCTGAATGGGTATACTGAGGCAGTGGACAGAAAACACATTGAGCTTGGCTTCTGTCTTGGGACCTGAATAGGGCCTGTTCTGCATCTTTGCCCTCCCCTGACCTGGCTTTCAATTTTGCTGGACGTTCTTCCCAGAGGAGCCCCAGTAGGTGAGGCTCTAGCACCCACGGCCTCTCCCTGTGAATACTGACTTCAGAGCTGGATGCTTCTGAGGAGTCGGTTCAGGTCTAGCTGTGTGGACAGAGCCCCTGCCAGGGACACCTCTGCCCCCACCACAAAGCAATTTTAACAAAGTCAACTGGGCTGGTGCAGTCCTACCAGGTGGGCCTACATGTGGGGCCTGTCCCCACACCTCCACATGTAGCCCACGGGTTAGAATGCTATTGAGGCTTCAAAATACTGAATGAGCCAATTCCTTAGCTCAGGTTTGGACTCTGCACACGTGTGCTCTAATGTGTATGACACAGCAATACCCACATATCCGTGTGTATGCACAAACACGTGTGGCCATTTACAGAACAGTGTGCTGACTCCAGGGCAGAGGCTGCCCTGCACTGCTGATTCCCTCCCTTGGATTGAGAGCCACCAACTCCCTCACCACCAGGCTGCCCATGGGTGCCATGGGCTAGGCTGCCAGCTTCTGCCTCTACTGCAGGCCACTCCTGGTGCCATCAGCCCCAAGAGACAGCAGGCTGCCCCAAGCCAACAGCTCCTGTCCTTTACTTTCCCGAGAGCAGGCTTCACAGGAGTGTAAGAGTATCATAGTGGAAGGCCACAGCCCACCCTGCGGCTTCTCCCATGTTCTGTGCAAGGAGTATGACAGAATGAAGCTCATCCTTTTGGCGCCTCTAATTTGAAAAAGAAAGAAAAAAAGCTGGGATGAGCTCTGAGATGTAAGAAAAGGTATCTAGCCATACCAGGGCTCCCCTCCCCTGGGCTGAGCACCATCAGCCATCTTGGTTGGCTGCCCTCCCAGGCGGCCTCTTTGAATGGAGGGCTCCAGCCGGCTCCAGGCCTAGCCCCTCCTTCAGCACAGTAGCTAGGAAACCTGAAAAGCCAGTCTTGCCACTGCCGGAGACTATCCTTCTCCCTAAGCTTCTCTCAAGCCAACCACCAACTCCACTTCTCAGTGGCTGTGACAGCAGTGACTGGCCACTCCCCAGCCCTGACCTACAGTGGGCACAGATTTCTTCCTAACCTCCACCCAGTGCGCACAGGAAAGTGGCATCAACAACTTCTCAGCCACAGGGCTGAAGTGCTCTGCTGTCACCTGGGAGAGCCCCAAGGTCCCCTCTCTTAGCTGGGGCTGGGAAGGGCCCTACTTGTCCTCAAATCCAGGATCCAGAGGCTCAGAAAGGTGGCCCAGAGCAGCCGTGGGGCTCCTAACAGGTCTGCGTGGGAGATGTGGCCAGAGGGGCTGCTGGTGTGTGGGCAGCTTCATCTCTATTACCAGGCAAATAGTGCCTTTCACTTGAAACGGGGGCCTGGCCCTTTCCAGCTCCTCAGAGCCTTTTCCCCAGACCTCCATGGTGTTCAGTCATCTCAGAAGAGATGAGCCCCATCAGACAACGCATCTTCTGGAAGCCACACTGTGCCGTAGGCCATACTGTCTGCCAGGGGAGGCCGCAGTGGGCAGCTCTGAGTTATCTGGTCCCCTCCCTGCCCACCAGGTGCCTGTGGCCTGGAGGTGGTGGCAGGGGGAGAGTGCTGGTGCTTGGGGGCTCCTGGCCCCCTGAATCTTGGGCAGGGAGGTCTGCGTGCCTCTCCAGGTTGGGTGTGTGCCCTGGGTTGAGGGCAGTGGTATGGGCAGCACATCTTGTGGGGCTCTGGAGAACCCTGGGGAAGGAGGTGTAGAGCTGGCACTGCCCATCTTTGCTGGGTCAGAACTAGGGGCCGAGGGGGATAGGGGCTTCCTGGGAACCAGGGGAGCCCATGCTGAGGATGGAACAGAGAGGCAGGTATTTACAATTGGGCGAGGGAGAAGGGAGTGGCCATGCCCTCCGTCCCTCACTCTCCCCTCCTTGAGCTCACCCCACTCTGTAGTGTACAGGGGTGGATAAGGGGTGAGTGGCATTTAGATGGTTTGAGCTTTTCTTCTCCGGGGGTGGCAGAGACCAAGACACAGGGTCTGGCCTGCTCACCCTTCCTCTCGGCAGCCTTGCCCAGGATGCCAGCTTTCCTCCCCCGGCTGCATGCCCCACCAGCCAGAGCTAAGAAATCCTCGGCCCCAACAGGGCACATCCCTCGGGCCACCTCTCTGCTGGGTCTGGGCCATGTCAACCCGGCAGAGCAGCACACGCTCCGTGTAAGTGGAGCCTGTGGTCTGCAGACCCCCCACTTGGCAAACCTGCAGACAGTGGATGTCCGCTGGCCACTCTTGCCCCCAAATTGCTGTGGAGACCAAACCACCGACTCCGCCACTCCCAGGCCCTGCTCAGACACGTAAGACACCCGAGAGGATGTGCATCGCCTCAGCAGGACGGGGACTCGGAAAATAAAGGGAGGGGTTTCCTGAGGGGCAGCTGCCGCCTTGTCCCAACCCCTCCCTGGACACAACATCAATGGCATACAGGCATCCTTTTTCAGTTAGATGGGGCCAGCCCCCAGGAGACCTGGGAAAAGAACCTGAGGTCTCTTAAGTTTGCAGGTGAAAAAAGTCAGGTAAGTCATCAGCATGAAAACAGCTACGTGAAGGGAGCGGGCCTGGCTGGAGAGCTGGGGATTACCATCCAGCTGGCGTGGGTCTTCAGGCTGAGCGCCTGGGAAGGCGGCGGTTCTGTTCAAAATCAAGAGGTTCCAACTCCTCCTACCTCTGTTCTTCCATCCCCCAAATACAAGGTGTCAGGGGCCTTGGCTGTGGAAACGGGGGTGCAGGAAGGGGCTGAATCCAGTTTCCAAGGGAGACTGTGGGGGGGAACCCTCAACACCCCCACCTAGGGCTCAGCTCAGCTCCTGGGTTGCTGGTTTTGTTTTTCCTCTTATGCCAGGGCTGAGGCAGCCGGCTTCTCTCAAAATCGTATTGCCTATATACTTGAATTAAAAATATATGGTGGCTCAAACGTGCCTGTGTGCATGGGCATGGTGGGCGGAGGCCCTCACGCGCATACACACTGGGGTCTGTGTCCACGTACCGCACACACACGTGTGTGTGCCCACACAGTATATATTAACATATATATTGCTCAAGTATATATGCTATTTACAGTATATATCTATATCAACATAAAACACAGGTATTTATAGGTGTGTACAATAGATACGCCCTAGGGGCCTGGGAGCACGCATTTCCGGGGTCATGGGGCCGACACGCTTGCTCAGCAGGGAGGGTAGAAGTGACATTAGGGACACCGACAGAAGGGGTCTGGAGAGGTGAGCCATGGAAAACCAAGGCCTTCCCAGGACAGAAAGGGGACTCAGGCTTCAAGTGCTGCCCTGCCCACTTGGCCACCCCCATTTTGGAGCCAGCAATTTACACATTTTGGTTGTTTTAGAGTTTTGTGCAAAATGAATTAACTTAAAAAAGGGTGAGTTCCTACTCAGTGCTTGGGCTCTAAGCATCTGCAAGAATCCAGATGCACAGCTCCTGCGTGTGGGGGGCTTCCAGGGCACGGGGTCCCATACAGCTCAAAGTGGGGAGTGGGGTGCATGCAAGCCCCTCATCAGATCAAGAGCACAGCCCTTCTCCTCTGAGCTTCTCAGGGTCAGCACAAGTCAGCCAGCTGCTGCCCAAAAAAGAGCATCAGGAAGGGCCTGGGCCACAGTGGGCCCTGTGCGCTCAGAAAGCGCCCCCAGCGGAAAAGGAGGCACAGGGGCTCACCCCATTCTCCCTGAAAAGCTCCAGAGGGACAAGCCCACCTCGGCCTGGCTGTCCGCCTCCCAGTGGCCCTCGGGCCCCTTCTGATGCTCAGATCTCACTGTGGCTGCCTGGGCGCCTGTCAGGGGGCTTGGCTGACAGCCCTGAGAGGTGCACCAGAGCCCCCATCTTATAACAGAGCTCTCTGCTCCTAGCTTCCTGCTCCAAAGAGGGGGCCATGGCCCCCAGTTCTCATGCTCGCTCCTGGAGCCACGGGGCACCAGCCAAGTAACGCTGAGCCTCTGGGCCCCCCAACAGAACTCAGTAGGCCCTGTCTCCTGAAACTGCTGCCAACCTCAGCCTGGACGCAAATACATTAAATAAGAAACTAAAACATGGTACGGTTTTCTCTATTAAGGCTCAGATAAGCTGCCTCCCAGGTCAAGTACTCATGAATGCCACAGTCCCCAGACTGAGGGGCAGGCGGGCAGGTGAGTTAGGGGCAGAGGCCTTCCATGTCCCCCGAAGTGGGGCAAGGGAGGGGAGCAGAAGGAAGAGGGAGCCCTATGCTGGTCTAGTCAACTGTTGGGGAGGTGGGAATGACCTAAGAAACCCCAGGCCCAGAATGCTGGGGGTGCCCCCGCTTGGGGGACACTGAGGCTCTGCCTGCCTGAGGAGGGTCCAGGGAAAGTGGAAGGGACAGCAGCTCAGGCCCCAGGATGGTGGGTCTCCTGGGACCCGCACCCCCAGGAGTGAGTACTTGTGGTGGGGAGGGTCTGGACAAGGCCCCCTTGGCAGTCTTGCTGGGAGTTGGGGCCCAGGCCCTGTGGTTGGCAGGCAAGGTTCTGGGTGGCTCCGGTCCTCCCCAGTTCGGGGTCCCACATGTGCTCCACGGTAACCTCATGGACCGCCCACTGGCCTCCACTCCGGGAACCAGCCCTGAGCTGATGGAACCAGAGACCAGCAACCACAGTATCCAGCTTCCTGCCCTCACGGGGGGCCTTCCCAGGCTCCATGAACTCAGCCCTACTCGGCATGCCCCCAAGATGACATGCAAATGGGTACCCCAGTGTCTTACAGGAGGCACCAGCTTACTTCGGTGTCTGCCCCCAGCTGTGGGCATGACCAGGTGAGGAGGTGGGTCAGCACAGAAGCTCCCTGGGCCTCAGACAGAATTTTCTGGAGTGGGGGTGGGGAGAGGAAGTGGGGGAGGGGGTTCTCGGGAGGGTTTGGGGGATCTAGGAAGGCGAGAGGACAGGGGAGGCCTTGGCTTGGGCTCCAGGAAATTGGGAGTGTCACCTAGGCCCCTTCTTTGGGGCCCTGGGGCCGATTTTCCAGTCTGTTGAGAAATACTGAAAGGATCTTCGGGGGGGAGGGGGGGGCTGGGCCCGGGCCTGGAGGGCAGACGGGGAGTGGAAGAGGCCCTTCTAATGCTTCTCTGCTTGGCTGACTTTCAGGGCGCTGATGACGCCGTTGATGTTTTCTTCTGGTACCTGCAAGGGGGAGGAGGTGGTCAACACGCGAGCCCCTGCAGCCGGCTCCCCTGCCCGGGGTCGGGGCGGCACTCACCAGTGCGTGGTCGAACTTGAACGTACTGATGTAGTAGGCAGGGATGTCTGCAGCGGCCAAGGGCTCGGAGATCTGGGCCACGATGCCACACTCATCTGGGGACAGTAGGGGACTGTGCTCAGCCTCCATGTGGTATTATTGCCCAGGGCGCCGGCAGGGCACCCTCGGCCCCCCTGGCTTCTCAGCCTTTCCCCTCCCTCTGCCAGCAGTGCCTGTGCTGTACCCACAATCTCCCCCTGAAGGCCCCTCTATCCAGGAGCCTTCTCTGACCCCCTGGGCCAGCAAAGAGCCCTCCATCCTCAGGGCTCCACCCGGTTCTAACTCTGGTCACCCGCTGCCGGTTTCTGTGCTCTGCAGCCCCAAATCCTCTTCCTGACATCTTTCCGGTTCTCTGAGACAGAGCTGGAGGCAGCGTGGGCAATGGAGGACAAGGGTTCAGGCCCTCTCTTCTTCTGTCACGGACTTTTCTAGCCAAGTCATTTCCTCTCTCTGAACCTCCCTCAGTTTCCTCATCAGAGTCCCCACTGGGTAACAAGCTCTGCCTGTCCTCAAGGCAGTGTCAGGGATTTGGTTGGGGCTGGGACATGACTTCCTTTTCTCTCTAATCTCTGAAGCAGGTGCTTTCTGGCCTCAAAAACCTCAGATGACAAGGCAGGCTGGGGGCTGCCTGGGGCTGGTCTTCCCCTCACACACAGCTTCCTCTCTGATTTGAAGGCACTACTCAAGGCTTCCTCCTACAGGAAGACCTCCAGAATCCGAGGACCACTCCATCAACACAATCCTGTGTTGTTTTCCTCAAAGCTACTGTTCTGATTTTGGTAACGATGCATTTCCCCAACACTGTCCCTGACTGCGTCGGAGGGAGAGTCCAGATCTGCTCATCAGCTCCCAGGGGATTCGGAGGCCGGAGCCTGGGTATTAACCTGGGCTCCATCCCCATCGTCACAACACCCAGCAAGCCCTGTGCCTCTCCACTCCCTGGCCTTGGTCCTGCTTGTCAGCCCGCCCAGGGGCCTGCTTTCCCCTTGGGTGGCTGTGCAGGCCTTGTGCCTGACTCCTGGGGACCGTTTGTGCTGCTATGTGGTGGACACTGGTTGTGTCCCGAGGCACCTTTAGCGACAGACACAACTACTCCTATAAAAGGAGGTCGGGAGGAGATTAGAATCTAGAATGGTGCTTTTCAAACTGTGGGTTGTAACCCGCTTGTGACATCCATTTAGAAGGCTGGTGACCAGTGTTTCACAAAATGACACAACAGAAAAGGAGAGGCCAAGCAGCGCGGCATGTGACTAGAGTGAGCAGTTTGCTGAATCTAGTGGGAGTTATTTGTGTATGTGTCTACTGGCTTATGATGTAAAATATACCTACTCCACACCTCGGTCTAACACATGTGGAATCCACCCATCTAGAATCTTTCAGATTATAAGTTATTTTTCTTGCAGATCTCTATAGCTATAAGCATGGCTCTAAACCCCTCAGCATCCTGGAAGGCAGACCCAGCTGCTGCCTGCTCAGCTCGCACGCCTTCCCGTCACCGTCCAGAGGCCATGCAAATAAAACAGCTTTACAGCTCCGTGCGAACGTCTGCCAATGGAGCGACGGCTCGAGCGTCATCTACTGTCCCACCTTTGCTTCCCCTTCATCTGCACTGTTTTGGTATTATTATCCTGAGTGTATTTTGGTAAACTCAGAACCAAAGCTGGGGATGAAAAGATAAGCAGGTATATGTGTCTTCCTGCCTATCGCTATGTCTCCCCCAGTGACCCCTGGGTACTCCCCTTGCCTGCCGAGCTTCAGGAAGAGATGGCGGCAGACCCCCTGGTCTGGTCAGGACGCTGCCCCACTGCCTGAGATGACCTGGCAAGGTTCTTCTCCCACCCTTTCTACCTTTCGACTCTGCACCCAGAGCCCAGCTGCCTGGAGCTACCTGGGTGCCGTGGAGGGGAGACGATATGTCACACCTCTCTCTGCTGGTTCTGCCCTCTCCTCCCTGTCAGTCCACTGTACGCGTATATCCACGCGTCAGCTCCAGACTCACCTCTTCTGGGAAGCCTTCCCTTCCTGAACCTTCTCTAAGCTACCTGGTCCTTACATGTGACAGTGACTGCAGCTGCTTCGTACTGAGCACTCGGTGTAACTGACACCTCATGGGTGCTCAGAACCACCCTGAGGCAGCATCTACCATCATCCTTATTTTATAGATGAGGAAACTGAGGCTCAAGAGATTAGGCAATCCGCCCAAGCTTACACTGGTTTCTCCCAGCCTCCTTCACGGCTGAGTTCCTCCATGACCCTGTACACTGGGCAGCAAATGTGGGCAAGAGAAATGCTGGGGTTCGTGGAGAAGGCGGCCCCAAGAGACAGACTGGGCTCTAGGGTCAGACCGGGAGCCTTCAGTGCACATTTCCTATTTCTTGAGAGAATAACCACTGTCCTGCCCCCAGGGTGGCTCAGGTTTTGGCCTTGAGGTAAGCAGAGTTAGGAGGTCCTGTCCAGCCCTGCTAGTTATTATCCATCCGCAAACTCGTCCAAAGAAAAGATGCAAGCGACAGATCCTGGCTCCCTCACTAACCCCTCGCTTCTGGGTGAAAATGCCCTGCCCCATGTTCTGTCCTAGGAGCAGGGCTTTCAGGGCTGACTTGATGGCCCCTGGAGCAGTCTGAGCTTTATCCAGAACACTCTGCATGCTGTCAATGGAGGGGTTTGTGCTCCCTGGAAACAACTGCCCCATGATTTACCAAGACCCTCCTCTGGGTTCAAGTTCTTGGGTCTAACAATCTAGCGTAAGGAAATCATTTTCTAATCAGAAAGCGCTCCACTCCCAGGCGTCTCTCTGCAGTCACAGCGGGTCCAGCAGCCTACGCCCAGTGCTGGCAGGATCGGTGCCATGAGGCCCTTCTGACTGATGGGTCTGAGGCCCGGGGCCCCTTGGAAAATGCTTATGGAAAAAACTACCTACCAAAGACACTGTTTGGACAATTGTGGAAACTGACTCTAGACTATGTCTTAGGGTATTCCTGTGAATTTTCTCCTGTGGGACCAGGTCACTGTGGTCCTGGAGAAGGAAGGACTGGGGTGTCTGAGACTCACTGTGAGATGTTCAGCAAATACATTTATTTACAGGAAGGGCACATTAAAAACGACAACAGGCATTACCTGTGAGCAGTGGGACTAAGGAGTGATTTTTTTTTTCCCTCTCAATTTTTATTCTGTCCCCAGTGTTCTAATAATAAGCAGGTATTAATGTTCTCATGGGGGAAAATAAGAGTGCTTTGGCTAAAGCCGTTCCTTCCACCCTCTGGAGGCCTGTACCTCCCGTCACTCACTGGTCAGGGACCTAGGCAGTGAGGACCTCAGGCTCCCTAAGCCTCAGTCTCCCCATCTGAACCACAGGGTACAGACAGAGGCTGAGTGACCCCGGACGACGTGAGTGCCCCAGCGATTGGAGGCACCCGGCAACGCCAGCCCCCTAGCCCTCCATGTTGAACCCCATGGGGCTCACCGAATCCCAGGGGCTGTCCTCCAATCCGCACCATCTTCCAGAGCTCTCCAGATGCGCTTGTGAACAACAAATTACTAGGAAACCTTAAAAAGGAGTAAGAGGAAACCCCCAGGGGCTGATGTTAACAATGCTCCCGGCCAGCACTCCATGGAACCCTCCCCACTGGCCGGGCTCCACCTGCCACAGGATGGGCCTGAGCTCATGGACCCCAAAGACTCCTTCCGAGCCCTTGACCCACTCTCTCTGCACCCTCGTCGTCTAGGGAGGGGGGACAGGAAGGCAGGGCTGAGACTGGGCTGTGAAACAACTGCCCCCTTTGCTAAGGCTGTTCAGGACGCCCCTCTTCAGCCCCAGAGGGGGCTGAGGGACAAACGGCACTTGGGTGATCCAGAGCTTCTGTCTCTCTGAGCTGCCTGTTGCCTGTGAGATGGGGCCAGCCCGCCTGCAGCGAAGGGTTGTGGAGCCCTACCAGGGACAAAGTGGGCGATGCTCCCATCACGGAGCCTGGCCCGCCCTGGGCTGACTTCCACCCTGGGGCCCAGCTCACCTCTGCTGGGTCTGCACGTCCATCACCAGGGAGATATAGCCCTCGATGAGGGAGAATGAGAAGAAGCGGATGTGGCCGCAGTCGTCACCGGCAGCCATTGGATCTTTCACTCTGGAGGCGGGGAGCTGGTGAGGGGTGGGGTGGGCGCCCCGCTGCACCCCGAAACCCACCCGGCTCACCTGCCCTGCCCACTGTCCTCAGCATGAGATGTCGGAAAGAGGACTGCCTGGGAGAGCAGGGCCAACCCTGGCCCCTGTCCTGCCTTGCTGGGTAACCCCGAGCCAGCGTCCCCTCCTTGGTCTCTTCTCTGTGAGGTGCCGATGATTCCATGGCCTCCACGGAGGTGAGCACAGCAATTCACAGAGCTGGAGACCCAGCTGGCCCCTAGGACAGGCTACACCCGCCCCTCCCCAGGCAGGCTTTCCGTCCCTGTGTTGACCCACATCTTGGAGCATAGGCTGTGGTCACTGATAGCTCACTGGCCACGGGCCCCCCCCCAACCTGGTGTTGGCATAAACTGAAAATCTGCTCTGAGGACAAATGCAAAGCCTGTTGTCTACAGAATGAAAAAGCCTGAGGTTCCAACTCCCCAGCTGACTGAGCTTGCCCTTGGAGCTCAGGGGACAGTGGGGCATTTATAACATCTACATGTCCACTGGGCTTCACCAAGTTTTGAGCTTCCCAAGGGTGAATGCCTCCCTTCTCAGAATGGGGCTTTTGGGTGGAGCCATGTTTCCCGCCCTCAGACCAGGTTCAGGGCACATCTGTGTCTCCCCTCTCAGATTAGCTCCCAGGGCACATCTGCCTCCCAAATGAGACAGGGGCTCCTAGGCACAGCCGGCCCCCTCTTGGCCCACCCTGCAGCCCCTCACGCCCGAGGGGGCCCTACCCGTTGGAGTAGAACATGACGTCCATGAGGAGTGTGGCCACAGCAGGCAGCGTGTCAGGGTCCAAGCTGGTGACACAGAACCTGTTGCTCGGGCTGGACAGGGGGTGGATGACAGGCCTCTGGACTGTGAGAGCACAAAGACAAGGGGTGCTGAGGCCGGGAGGAGAGGAGCCGCGTGGGGCAGGTGGGGGTCCAGGCAGAGGGCCCTGCGAGGCCCGGCCTCCACCACCACCGACAGCGTCCCTGCTGCTCCAGCCTCACCCCAGACCCTGGGCCTTGGCGCATGCCATGCCGTCTGCTTGGAATGCCCTTCCCAGCCTCCACCACTGGCTGAGCTGCTCCTTGTTTTCCAAGCTTCGGCTCGAGAGTCACTGCCCTCTGGGAGGTCTGCCCTGACCCCCTGGGCCAGGCTGGGAGTGACCGCGGGCCATCGCTGGTGGGATCCATGTCCACCGCCCTTGCTAGACCTTGAGAGCAGGGTCCGACCAGGACTGCTGTACCACGTGATGCCCGGTGCTCAACTGATGCCCTGAGAATGGGCTGTTCTATGGCAGGAACTGGTAACCTCTTGAGGTCTCCCTGCACAGACTCCCCCATGCCACTCACCCATCTTGGGCTTCACGAAGCCATTAGTGATGCCAAGGTTCTCAGCTGCCACTGTCTCACCATTGACAACCCGGAGGATGGTGAACTCTGATGACAAGGTGTGGGTGACAAAGGGCAGGTCCCGCTCACGCACCTGGGGACAAGGAGTTGAGGACATGAGTGTCCTGTGGTCCCTGAATGGAGTGGGGCCGGGGGCACTGACCCTCTGAATTCTGTCCCCAGAACCAGCTTCGCCGTCCTTGCCTCCTGCTGTCCTGGTGGGGGATGGGAGCCTGGGGACAGGGGTACAACTGTCGGGGGCAGCGCGGGTGATGCAGAGGGGAGGGGACACCACACCAAGGGCTGGGAGGTACACGTCTGCCCCCAGCCCACCTTCTGTGCTTGTGTGCTGTGCCCGGACCTGTCCCTTCCCTCCCGAGGCCCATGGGAGAAGAGAATGAATGACCAGACACATTTGCCACCCCAGGGGAGGGGTGAGAGAGTGGGGAGCCAGGTGTCCGGCTGGGAGGGCACCCCATTCACATGTGCCCCCCAGCCCTCCCTTTCTGGTTTCCAGGTCAAATCAAGCATGGCCCAAAAGGCAGGTGGTGGGTGGGGCGGGGCAGAGACCTGGAGCCCAGCCTGGGCCATGTCGACACTTGACTGATGACCCCGAGGTACCCCTGGCCTCTCTCTGATCTGATCAGAGAGTGGGGGCCACAGAACTTTACAGGCCACGTCTGCGGGGGTGTCCACGTCGCCTAAGGCCCGGGGGCGCAAAACTGCAGTTACCAGGATGAAGTCCGTCTGGTAGGTGGACAGCATGAACACAGAGATGTTCTGGTCGGCCAGTGGGGCGATGACCGACTTGGCGATTTTGGTCACGCCGATGGGCTGGGAGTTGGAAAAGCTGCCGCCGCCTGATACCACATTGAGGGCCAGCCAGGTGGCATCTGCCACGCTCAGGTGCTCCGAGGAGGGCAGCTCTGGAGGAGGACACAGGAGGCAGGCTTGTGACTGATGGCCCCAGGTCCTCAGGGCAGGGCAGCCACAGAGGTGGGGGCCGAGACAGGGACCAGCTGTGTGATGGCGGCCAGCCCCGCCCTCTGGGCCTCAGTGTCCTCATCCGTCAGAGGATGGCACCAGCCTCCCAGGACCTGTCTTGGGAGGACAGAGCCGGGAAGGCCCTAAGCAGACTTTGGATGTGCCAGGTGGCTCAGCAGAGCAAGAACCACTGGGACAGGCAGTTTATCTACGCTCAGCCTCAGTTTCCCTAGCCGTGAAACGATAAGCAACCAGCAGTCAGAGCCAGTTTTGTTATTTTTAGTTCTCACTACCCTTCTGGGTGCCAGGTGCTGCCATCACCAGGAGCAGGTCCTGTGGTTTTCCAATTGGGATCCCAGGAACCTACCAGGAGGCTGTGGGTGGAAGAGAGGCCAGCAACAGACAGGGTGGGGGCTCTGGATTTCCTCCCTGCTTCAGTCACTTAGCTCCAGCAGGGTTCCTGATAATGCCACCTTTTGGTGGGCACTGACTGTCTTCCAAGTACCTCCTGACACTGCAGGGGCTCTGGGGGTTGGCACCGGCAGGGGTAGGATGGGGCAGGTTCAGAGCAGCAGCAATCGCCGAGTCTCCCTGACTAGCTCATGAAGACCCGGATCCCAAGTGTGCAGACCATCCCTCTTCTGCCCTGTCCTGCAGACTGCTCTAAGTGTGGCCTGTGCACGGCACACGGGGACACACGGCCACAGAGCCATGCACAGCTGCACACAGGACTCCCCATGCATCACAGGTAGCTGCTCAAACTTACCCCACAAAGGGGCTGTTATCACCACTGTAGACACCACAGACCAGAGCTCTGAGGGCAGCGATTTGCCCAAGATCACATAGGGAATAACAGTGCCAGGATTCAAACCCAGGTCCAACACCCTCATGCTCTGTCCTGGGCACCCACAGGGAAGAAGAGCCGGGTCTCCAGAAAGGGCGGGGGCTGAAATCAGGGGCCCAGACGCCGGCGAGCCGTGGGGGCTGTGATGACGACGAGGATAATGATACCCCAGGGACGGCTGTGCTGGCCTCAGCAAGATGGCTCCCAAGGAGAGGAAATCGAGTGAGGCCGCACCAGGCTCCTACCTGCCCAGCTCTGGTCGCCATGGTGACCACAGTCTAGCGAGCCTATTGGGCCTGCTGGCTGAGAAGGGCTAGTCCTCACCAGGCTGGCTGCAGAAGCAGACAGCTTCCCAGAAAACGGAAAAGGTTTGGGAGGGAGAGCAGGACAAAAGGTTTTAAAAGGTCCTGGGTCTCAGGTGGCCATGTCTAGCTTCTCTACCTATTGTCTGGAGTGTCAGAAAAGAGATTTTTCAGCTCCAGGACCACCAGTGCAAACATACTTCCCAGAACTAGAGTCCCAACTCAGTTCTGAAATTCTAACAATTCTGCTTTTGGCTCTCAGCCCTTGATAGACGTCCCTGAAGTTCTTCAAGTGGCAGCCTGGAATGAGAGGGTGGGCAGCTCTGGACCAGTGGTTGCCTCTCTGATGTTTCCAGAAGGGCGAGCTCTGTCAGAGCAGAGAAAGCAGCTAGAGGCAGGGTGTTTGCTGTTTCCGGCCGCATGGATCCCAAACACTGCCCTGGCATTCTGGAGGAGAGGGGAGGGCCGTCTGGGCCCCATCCTCACCCTGGGCCAAGCCTTGGGGTGCCCAAGGCACTGCTTTGGGCACATGGAGATAAGCTGCCAGGAGGCGGCAAGCTGGTTCTTCCCTAGAAAAAAAGTGGACCCGTTCCAAGACCGAAATGGATTCTCTCTGTCACTGCCCATTGTCCGAGCGCCTAAAAATAGCCTCGGAGCTGAGGACACTCCATGGCAGAGGCGGTAAGTGTCTCACCACTCCCCATCCCAGCCACAAAGTCGGGCGACTCTGATGCTGGGTGGAGCCCCCACCTCCCCAGGAGCCCCTGTTCTGGCCGCAGGACCTGTGGCTCCCTGTGCTGCATGGCTGTGTCCTCTGCACAGAGCCCGTGTTTCTCAGGCTCCTCCTACCCAGCCTGCAGCAAGGTCAAGAGTCCTGGGGTAGGGCAGGTGGGTTTAGTACTGGCTGTGTGATCTTGGACAAAGTCACCGTCCCCTGGTTTTTCAGTTTTCGAATCGAATGTGGGATGATGAAATCAAGCTCTATTCCAGAAGTTGCCTGGAGGATTAAATGAGATAATCCCCATCAAGTGCTTAGCTGAGCTCATCAAATGCCAGAGCCTTTATGTTACGCTGCTGGTGGCAGCAGGTGGTTCTGGATGGCAGTTGGGTAAAATGTATTGAGAGTTTTAGAAACGTGCAATTGTATGGGAGTACTGCTGACCCTTGAAAAACACAGGCTTGAACTGTGTGGGTCCACATATGCCTCGTACACCTTGAGCATGCCTTACGGGACTGACAGGGAGGGAGGTGATCCTGTGTTTGGGATGAGGCCACGGAGGCCCCAGGATGCTAAGCAACTTGCCCAGAATCTCAAGCAGGGAATAGCAGGGCTGGACAGGAACCTGGGTCTTTCCGTATTAGCCCAGTGTAAAGCCAGGAGTTACCTCTCTACATCTTCCTCTGTCCACCTTTTGGCCAGTCATGGCCCAAGGAGCCTGTGCTGTCCCATTGTGTTACAAATCCCACAGATGCAGGTAAGGGTACTGCGCTTGGTGGGGGCCAGTGAGGGGGCCCTGATTAGCAATGCATCCCTCTAACTGCAAACCTAAGATGCTGCCCGCTACCCAGAGGCTGGGCAGGGCTGCTGTTCCTATTATTTTGGGTCCCAAGAGCATCTAGCGTTGCACATAGTAAGTGCACATTAGCGATACAAAAGAACAAATTACACACATGCATACACACACCCCTTCTGTTTGCCACACAGACATACAGCATCCATTTGAGCCAAGAACCTCTAAAATTCCACATTCAATAGGGGATATCTGGTTAATGTCACTGACAATTGCCCCATCTTCCCAGGAAAGGCTCAGCATTTAACACACATGTGAACTGTAGATAGCTGCTGGTTCCTAACCGTGAGAGCTTCATGCTGGCAATATTGCCAGTGAACAATAACCAAGGCGCCCTGGCTGATGTGAACAGTGGCTAAGGGAGGCCCCGGGTGAGAAGCTATGTTTGCAGAACTGGGAGACAGGGCGCCATCCTTCACACGGCATGGCACAGCCAGCATCCCTCCCTGACCCATGGGGGAAGCCACAGACCAAACTCTGAAGAGGAGCTTCCTAAGAGAAACACCCCAGAGCTCAAGTGAGGGGGTGGAACGAGGCATTGCTTCCTCTCACTGAAGCCCCCACCCCAAACCCTGCCCTCTGAGAGCCGTCCCAGACTGGCCCGCCCCCCTCCTCAGCTGCTCCTACCCTAGGTCTGCGGAACCATCACACCACTTCCCAGGGGCTTCGCTGGAATCAACCTCTGGGCACTTCCTGCTATGAAGGGGCCCCTGCCATTCATAGTGACCCTGGACACCTTAATGTCAGTTTTCCCTCTTGTAAATGGGTCTTTACTCTTTACCCTCAGGTCACTGAAATGATCCCAGGGGGCGATTCATCTCTGCAGTGGGGTACAGGGGAGTCTTTTCTGTATACTTGCCCCCTGTAGCCCCACAACAGGAGTTTGAGACATACTTATTATTTGAAACATACACATTTTTTTCTTGGGCGGCAACAGCCTGGTTTTCTGGTCTGAAAGGGAGACCCTTACCCAGAGGTCACAGAGCCCTGAGGCTCCTGGGCTCAGAGGTGGTATATCTGATTTCAGGTACATTTCCATGGCCTAACAGGATACCGGCACACTCTCTGCCTCCTGCAACCATGGGAGCTGGCTCAGATCCAGCCACTCCACCACAGGACATCCCCCTAGTTATTGACAATTCCTGCAAACATGGCCTTCCAGGACCTGCGAAACCGGCTTACCAGGTCCCGCTAGGTCCCATGGCCTCCCTCGCTCTCTGCTCACGGTCTTCTCTCATTTGCTGCTTTGAGAAGTGAGAGTTCGTCTCATCTGGGGAGGAGGATTAGCTAGAACATCTATTCCCAGAGAATAGATCCTCTGGGGGATTCCTTCTATGTCTGAGGCACCACAATTCTCAGCAGTTCTGTGGACAGGCATGCGTGCCCTTGAGAAAATGGAAGTGTGTTTGGGTTGCCCAAGCATATATAGTCTTCATGTGACTGTGCTTCGTGGTTAGGTCCGAAGTTCTGTCTGTGGCTTCTGTGTTCAGAAAACATGTGATGAATGAATGAGTGACTGCCTCCGATGGTGAGGCAGGGCCTCCCATGGGGCCTGCCCCATCCTTGCTCTGGACATGCAGCAGCTGCCCCCTTGGAGACAGGGAAGGACACTGTGCCCTTGAGATGTGGGGGACCCGGCCCTGCCCTCACACTTGCTTGGTGTTCTGGAGCACATGAGTGTAAGGATAAGGAGCATAGCTGGGGAGGTTGCTTCCCCAGGGTCTGAACACAAATTGACAACCATAAAACAGTCAACTGCTGACCCCACCCCATGCCATTTCTCAGACCCGATTTTAGGAATCAACCTGACTAAGAATAAATGTTACACATTTACAGAGTTCAAAAATTTATCATTGGAGAAAAATTAAAACAACTTCAAGTCTAACTGAAGTTGCAGACCCTTACCCAGGGCTGCTATGAAAGGCTGTTGTAGCTCAGGAAATTTTAAGGGGTGGTGTTAAGTGAACACATTTCTATATATAATATGGTCATAAGTAAATTAAAAAGTAACAAGCAGCACACAGAATGAAGTTGGAAAGAAAAAGCTAAAAAGTTACTAGTAGTTGCGTTTGGTGTGGGACTGGGTTTTTAAAAAATGTCAAATTTGTTGCATATGCCACACGGTTTGGAAGAATGTAACTTAGCAATTCAGAGTGGACACCAGCTTTGGGGGGAGTCCAGCTCCCCGCCACTTATGGGCCTGGGCACAGACTTATCCGTTCTGTTCTCAGCTCCTACGGATACAAATAACACCACCTCCTCTGAAATTAATGTCTCGGTCAGCATGAGTGAATGTTCACTGTTACTTTAGAGCAAGGCAAACACAATACACTTTAACAATAAAACTAAAAGGATGCAGGGATGGGAGAATGGGGAGTAGCTGCTAATAGGTAACAGAGCTTTTTGGGGTGATGACAATGCTCTGGGAATCGGAGTTGATGGCTACACAACCTTGTGAATATCAAAAACCACTGAACTGTCGTGTACTGCACAATGGTGAATTTTATGGTATGTGAATTATATCTCAATTAAGAAAATAGGGAAAAGGTAAAGGAAAACCATGGAAGATGGTAGCTGGGGCTTGCTCCAATGGGAACAAGGACTGAGGACAATTTAAAGCACCTCGCTCACAGCAGATGCTCAACGAAACACGTGCCTTCCTTCTTGGCTGGGTGAGCACTGTTTCACTGTCCCATTTAGTTCTGGGCCTTCCCCGGGCAGTCTCACGACGGGTGTGTGTGTGTGTGTGTGTGTGTGTGTGTGTGTGTGTGTGTGTTTTAGTTCTGGGCCTTCCCCGGGCAGTCTCACGACGGGTGTGTGTGTGTGTGTGTGTGTGTGTGTGTGTGTGTGTGTGTGTGTGTGTGTGTGTGTGTGTGTGTGTGAGGGGCGTCAGCCAGGACACAGGGAGAGGAGAAAGACACTCTGCTGACTTTCTAACCCACCAGCAGTTGGAGGCAGAAACTAGGAGGCAGCCAGCCAGCCAGCCAGCAATGCCTATCGGGCCCAGGGCAGCTAAGTTCTAGGTGAGAGAAGTACTCACCCAGGAACCCTTCCTCATCAACGATGATGGTGTAATCCTCCGGTGTCTCGGTCAGACTGAAGAACTTGCACCTGGGTGGGTAGACAGATGGACAGATACAGGATATCGTGTTAGTCCCTGCAGGGCCCCGTGGCAGACACCCACCAGTGACCCAACAGGAGATGACTCGGTTTACCTGGGCTCTGACCCCAGGCTGTGGTTGGCCTCCAGTAAGCTGCTTATCTGTCCCTCCATTTCCCCCCACACCCCGTTCTAAGGTCTCAGAGAAGCCTAGAGATGGAGATCATCCCCTCCGCCCTGGCCGATCTTTGGGGACCCCTGAGCTGGCGGGCCTCTAAGGTTCCATACAGACCCATGGATGTTAGACCCCACTTTTCCCCAGGGGGGGAAGTGACTGAAGGGTGGCCCTGGCAGGGATCAGTCAGGTGAACTGTCTTTTCCGTGGGCTCCCCACACTTTGACCTCCAGGCCTCTGTCACTGCCCCCACCCCCACATCCATGGTCCTAGCACCTTTCCTCACCAACTGGAGCGCTCCCACTGCCATTTAAGGCCTAATTCACATCTCCCAGCCGACAGCCCAGACTTCAGGGAACTTTTCTTCCTTGTACAAGAGTGGTATGGCCGCCTTTGCCAGTTTGGGGGCATGGATCCCGGAACTGCCACATGTCCATTGTGGTAATACTGCTTAGACTGGGGTGTATGTTGCTCCCCCCCCACCCCAAAAGACCACTCAGTTCCCAAGGCCAGGGACCATTAATCACTCTGTCCCTCTGTATCTCATCCCTAAGCGCGCTCTTGGTGCCTAGCAGACACCCTGGGTTCCATGTCTAGGCTTCCCTCATGGGGTGAGGGGGTTAACACCCCTCAGTGCCTGTCTCCCCATCTTCCACCCAGCCAGAAAGCCGTCCGGAACGCCCGGGATGCAGCTACAGGGAGAGACGGTGCACACAAGGGCTGGCGTGCAGGGACCTGCCTGTGGTCCTTTACCTAGCATCCCTGCTCTCAAGACTGAGGCCCAGCACGGGCTCCAGGCCCAATGTGTAAAACTCATCCGTCTCGGGAGTCACAAAAGAAAGAGGCCCAATGGGTAACCCCAGCAAAGGTCCGAATGTCATCTCTACAAAGATTAAAACGGAAAAGGAGCCGTGAAGGGGAGGCAGCGTTACAGGGGCTGGAATGGCAGGGATGTCCACAGCTCTTTCCTCCTGGCCCTCTTTTCCTGTCAGTTGCCCTGCAGCACTGAAGCCTTATCAACAGAATCTCTGCAGCACCTTTTTACTTTATTCTTTAAGTTTTTCACAAGGCACGAGAGCAACTGGAACTGGCAGGAATGCAAAATGGTGCAGCCATGTGGGAAAGTCTGGGCAGTTGCTTATAAAGTTAAACATATACCGACCACACGACTCAGCGACCCCCTCCTGGGTATTTACTCAAGAGAAGTGAAAACATATGCACACACAAAGACCTGTATGCAAAGGTTTACAGCCTTTATTTGTAATCACCTCAAACTGGAACAACTGAAACGTCCTCCCTTCAGCTGGAGAACCGGATGAACTGCGTTATTGGTCAGCAATAAGAAGAACTGAATTACGGATTTGTGCAGTAACGTTGGATGAGCCTCAAATGCATTTTGCTGAGTGAAAGCCAGCATCAAAAGGTTACAATACTTGGGCCGGCCGAGCGGCTCGTTGGTTAAGAGCTGATTTGGGATGCCAGCTCTGAGCAGCAGGGCCCCGGTTCGGATCCCACATGAAGGCCAGTGACACTGCCCTCCACAGCTAAGATGGTGAACAACAGCTCGATCTGGAGCTGGGCTGCTATGAGTCGCCAGTGATGGCGTAGGCTGCAGCCCCTGCTGCAGTGGGTTGCCATGGGCTACCGTGTGTGGCCAGCAGCTAGCGTGAGCAGCCAGCAGCCGGTGTGAGCTGCCAAGAGCCGCCATGAGTGGCCATCCAGAGGCCAGCAACTGATCTGCCTCACCTGGGAAGAGCACAATGATAATACCAACATGGGCCAGTGAAGCAACGTCCTTCACAACTAGACTGAAGAACGAAAGGACAGCAACTTGTCTGTTCCCCTTCCCCCGATTCCCCAATAAAATCTTAAAAAAAAAAAAAAGAAAAAAAAAGAAAAAAGGTTACAATACTCTATGATCCCACTTATATGACATTCTGGCAGAGGCAAAACTGTCAGGACAGAGAACAGATTCGTGGTGGCTAAGGGCTGGGCGGGGGCTGTTACAGGGGCCACATGGAACTTCTGTTTCATAATCTTAATTGTGGGGATGGTTACAAGATCATAAACGTTTGTCAAAACTCGAAGACCTGTACCCTAAATAGGGTGAATTTTATTGTGTGTAAATCATACCTCAGTGAACCTGACTTTACAGGAAATGTTTATCCCAGAATGGTGAACAAGGTGGCACTTATTTGCTTTCCCTCTGACATTCTGCTTAACAAACAGCACACACTCTTCCATTTTCCTCCAGCTCTTTGGTTTTCAAATGACATCTCTGTCCCTGCCTGTCCCATATCCAATTTGCAACTATCGCCTGGACAAATGAAATCTATAATTGCTCGGGACAACGGCAAATTATCACCTTAGTAAGTGGCAATTGCTGGGCTGGCCTCGCTCCTTCCTGGGGACTCCTGTGCTCTCAGAAAGAGCCTAGGAAGTCCCCCTGAATCCCTCCCACTGTCACCAGACTGCCATCGGTAGGTACTCTCTGGGCAGGGGAGTGGCCACCCAGTGTCTGAGAGAGCCTTGTGAAAGCAAACAGACATGGCATTTGCTCCCAGGGCCCTCTTGGCTGTGAGGGGTGCTCCAGAAATAGAAAATATAAATCACTCTGGAGGCACAAACGGGGTATAAATATGTCACTAATGTGACCTGTCTTACCCTTCAAGACCCAGTTTAAGCATCTTCTCTGGGGCATAACCTTTTCTGATTGGCACCAGCCACCTCCTTTCCCTCACCTCCCACCATAGGAGTGGTCCTTCCTTGATAGCCTATACAATGAGAGCCTTACACTATGTCTATGAGAGGATGTTAAGGCCACTGTCGGCAGCTGGGTTGGTGGTACAGCACAACTCTAGGGGAGAGTTCATTCATCTCATAGTGTATGTGAAATATGCCCTTTCAGTTGGGCAGTGCACAACCTGTGCAACTGCACAGGATGGTCCTGGGTACTTTCCATAACCTACTGCAAATAATACTGCTTCCTCCAGTAGACCATAAGCTCTCATAAGCAAGGACTGTGGGTTCTCTGTACACACACCTAGTACCAACACTGGCTGGGCATAGAATCAACACTCATTGTCTGATGAGCAAAAGAATGGACTGTGGCCACATATACCTCCAAAGCTAGAGAAGCCCTAATCAGAACAAACCCTTCTTGCCCTGGTGTGGCTCTGCCTTCACTTACTCCTCTGGGAGACACTAAAGTCTCCAGTCCCAACTCTGCAATCTCTCATGAGTCACGGCTAGATCCACACCTCAGCAGGGCCCTTGCTATTTGTGGCCTCTCTGTACTTTGTCTACAAGGAGCTGGAAAGAGGACCAAAGCCCAGCAGATACCCAGCCTGCTGCTAGGTGCTGTTAGGAAACCCGAGGAGGAGGCGGAGGAGGAGGAGGAGATCTGTCTGCCCTCTAGATGCCCTCCTGCTACTTAGGAACAGGATGAAACAACAGAAGAGGAAGCAGCCTGGCAGAGCAAGCAGACCGCGGTCCTGGAGTTGAGAGGCCTGGGTTCCAGTCCCAATCTGGCACCTGGGGGTGGTGAGCCCTGGGCTGCTTCATTCTTCTGTGCAGTGAGGGGCAGGTTCAAGGCAGACTAGTCCCCATCTAGTTCCAGCCTGGGCAGTGTATGGGCCACCTGGAACCCTGCCAGCTCCAAAGCAGGGTGGACCTCAAGGGGCTTGGCCAATAAAGGCATAGAGATGATCCCAGAACCACTGAGTGTCTGGAAAACATCCTTCAAGGGTAGGCAAAAACCCTAACCAGCTCCGATCAGAACCCAAGACAGATCTGCTGCCCAGGGATCTGGGCAGGTTGGTGCATCACAACTCTAGGAAGAGGGCTCATTCATTTTATTCTATATGAAGAGTGCCCGTAGAGTTGGGCAGTATACAACCTATGCATCTGTATGTGATAAGTTACTTGGCAGGTCCTGCGGGAGCAGTCAGGTAGATGCGACACAAAACTCTAGAACCCTGAGCAATGAAGGAGGGAGACTGGGGAACAGCAGCTGTGGGGAGAGCCCTCACTCATTATGGTTCAGGACACACCCCAAGAATCATGCAAGTCCCCTAAGGAGTGCCAATGTATCCCTGGGCTCTGTGAACAGAGCACAAGCACTGCACGAGGGCAGGCCACACTGGGAAGCCCATGTCTGTTCAGAGCTTCATGGTCAACATGGAACATGCCCAGATGAAGTGAGGGGACTCTAGACTGTGTCCCTTCGGCCTGAAGGAAGGTTCCGGCCACCACCTTTAAATCTCCGTAGTTATTGTGGATCATGGGATAGGAGCAATGTTGCTGCTTATGGCTTTGTGACCCTAGGCAAGTTACTTAACCTCTCTGTGCCTCGGTTTCTTCATGTGTACAATGGGGGTAATAATAGTATCTACTTCATAGGGCTGTTGTTGAAGAATGAGTGAATACCCAGTGAATACTCAATATGTTGGCTATTTCTTCTTGGTGAGCAGAGAAAGCTAAGGAGGGGGCCGCGGGAGGCCAGCTTGTGTCCCGAGTAAAGAAAAGCTCTAAAGCCAGCTGACTACAGGGACCAACAGGCTGGCCTGGGAGGCGCTGAGTTGTCAGTTCTCCAAGGGGCTGAGCCCCAGGCAGACAGGCTCCTGGGTGATGCTGCCTCAATGGGGAGGATGGATTAAACTGAGTCTCATTTCTTTGAAACACCTTGTTCCTACACACTGACCCCAAGCGATAAGCTTTGGTCAAGGCTTATTTGGTCAAAGTCTCCATTCACCTCCCCAGTAGCCCAGCTCCCACCAGGTAGCCAGCGAAGGAATGATGGTTTATGACGGGACAGACAGACCCAGCCTGACACTG